TGTGAGATTATTAAACATGTAACATGTTAATACATGATAAATGGATTGACGATAATGAGAAAATAATGTCATGAATAGATTATCATGTTGATTGGAGAGTTATCATGGATTATTAATTTGACAAGATAAAAAAGATTCAGTATATTGTCATGATATTATTACCATGATGGTAAAATGTTATAATCTGTAACTAACACATTGGATAAAGAGTATAATCATCAATGAGTAGATTGGAACGGAAAACTTGAGTCAATATATTTGAACTTTTTTTTTCTCATCTATTCCAAGATTCTGGTTGTGTCATTCATTCCCATGGTATGAACTATGTCCATGTAATAAAAGTAATAATAATAAAAGAGGATAAGGTGCTGAGAAGGTTTGATTATATTTCCATGATAATACTTGCTCAATGTTTCCCATGTTGGTTAATATTTCAAATGATGAACGTGATCAGTGAAATAAAACTTTTTTTATTACTCATTTTGAGAACAATATTTTTTTTTATTACATTAAATATCCAACCTGAAAGTGTATTTACTCATGATGATGTTCATGTTTTCCTTAAATTATCATCATGAGGACTGAATCATTTTCCATGGGCGGCGAATAAGATATTATAAAGATGCTATTACAACTTAAGAGTCTAATTATTACAACAATGGAAACTTTTTCTATCAACAATTAATGTAATATTATGTACTATCATTGATGATCAACAATCAGGGAGAACATGATTAATTCAGATTAATTAACGATTATTTTTCATCATCGTGTTAGTGATTAAGCTTGCAGCTTGTATAATATATTCATATGTTTGGATGTAATTTATTATTATTCAGGTTATTCTACCCTGAATATTATCACAGGGGAAGGATATTAATTCCATAAGAAATGATACTTTATTGTGATTTATTGTATCTCATGATATTTCTGAAATTCTGCCAAAGATATTCATTGACTTATCTGTGGATTCTGTGGTGAACTGTCAGTAATCACATAAGGCAACTTGATATGTCAAAGAGAATGTTGGTCAAAGAAGAGAAAAACAGGGGAAAAAAAGAATATCAGAAAATTCGAATAATTTATACATAAAACTTTTTTTCTATTCTTTGGATTTATTATTATTATATTTTAAAGAACATTGACCTTGAAAGAAATGTTCTTTTCTTATTCTTGGCAGAACTTTTTTCTCCTCGAAACTTTGTTCGACTTTTTTTTTCATTCTCTCCATAGACATTCATTTGTATTTCGACTGCAATATAATGATTACTTTTTGAGCATTTCGAGTTTCTTTCTTTGATTTCTTTCACTCAGTTAGATGAAAATTATTTGGCTCTTTGATAATAACCGATAATTGCCAGTGACATTGATCAGCTTGTGATTGTTGTTAATTGTTGTGATCTATTTACGTTGACAATCAATTTGATTGGTATTGAAAATCATACAATCATTAGTAGGAAATTTTTTCCAGCCAAAATATTACATTATTTAACTAATTATTGTCATCTAATACTTGATTTACGTAATAGTATATTGTTAAGTTGATTGATAATCTCAGCACGATTACTTTTACTTGCAATACTATGCAATATATATATATTATAAAGTGATGATCAGCAAATGATATTGATGCTTTGGAGGCAAAAGTTATATCAATAAATATTGTATTAGCTTCAGGGTTTCAATAAACTTATTGCTGAATTTATATCATAAGAATCTCTGATGGACTCTCTGCCAACTCAGCATGATCTTGAAGAGAGTGACCACCATATGATAAAGATGATGACCATATCTTGATTGTTAACATGAAGATATTATTTATTCCCATATCTTTGGCCATTTCAAAGTTGATGGGGAAAAACAGATGAAATGAATTGACCATTTCAAGCAGATAAATTGATGAATTATTTGAAATAAAACAAAATGAAACAAAGTGAAAGCAACAAAGTTACAGCAAGTCAATCAACTGATAAAATAGAGTATTGAAAAAACTAGATTGCTCAAAAATCACTAAGCCGAAAGAGACAAAAAGATTTATCTCTCTCTTTTCAGGCCCAAGAATATCAATGATCAGACTGACCATGGGTCAAGATTGTTATTTAAGGTTTTATCCATTGATTTATCTTGATCATCTTCTTCAAATCCACCAGAAGCCTTAAACAGTAACTATTGGAACATTTAATTGGATTGTCAAAACTAATTTCTTTTTCTTTTAAAGGAGAGAGAAACAGGATATAAGAGTTGAATAAGAAGAAAAAAAATCTTACTCGTAACCATGACAACCTTTTTCAGAAGATTACAGAACTGTAGTAATAAGAGAAACTAATAGGTTACCGCCTGAGGATAAAGATGAGAGGAAAAAAAGATGAGCCAGTGAATCGTCATCATTATGATGCTGATGATAAGTATCCAAACCATTTGGACTGATGATTAAATTGAATATCGAATAGCTTATATTGAGGATATTATGATTAACAGAAATTGTGATAAATAAAGAGAATAATTTTTTCTTCTTATATTTCTATCATCATGGTGGTCACACTGGGATGTGAGATGATTTAATGAGTTGATTAAAGAGAATAAAGAATATTTTTCTTTATTTTTCTTTAATCAACTAATTAACTAACTTATGATCTCTCTCGAAGCGTAAATTAACCCAATCAACATGGCAAAAATAATGAGCTCATTCATTGATTACTATTCTTGATGATTCTTAGCATTATCGTTGGTCTGTCGTTTTCAATTAAATGATGAGGATGAGGATGAAAAAGATGGTAAATATCAACAGAACAATAGAAAGTGAAATGAAACTTTATAAATATAAAGATGAAAATATCAACTTGATGTTTTGTTAAATGAAAAAAAAGAGATGATAATTCAATCAATAGTTGACAATTTGTTGTAACTAATCATGAATCCAGTTTCTCGTCTTGATCATGATTGCTATTTGAACACCACATGATATTCATCATCATTATCATCACATAATAAATCCAATAAAATCCCAATGTCAAAGTCATTTCATCGGTTCAATAGTTTATCGGTTTCCAACAATTTCATACAATATCTTTATGATTCTGTGTCTCGAATTAAAGTAGAAAAAAAGTTCCAACATTTGATTTACCCTGAACAAACAAAAGTGTCACCTAATAGAGAGAGAGAGAGAGAAAAAATCTAAAGATGATGAAGATGAAAATAGAAAGATGGATGAAGATGCTTGTAATAGTTTGTTAGGAATGACCATCATGAAGGGTCATTCTCATGGGTGTAAGGTGACTATTAAGGTTGGACTATTTTCAGAATTAAACAAAAGGATAACAAATGAAGAGTGAAAAAAGTCCTTTGATTTACACAAAAGGATTAGATCAAGGAGAGAGAATGAAAAAAAGATTTAGTAAGGAGAGAGGTGAAAGTGCCAATGTTTTTGTCATCCAATATCAAGGAACGATTGAAAATGTTGAAATAATGATGAAGATAATATCAGATTAAGCAAGAACTTTTTTCATTCGATATGAGGTTTCTCTCTCTCTCTCTCTCTCTCTCTCTCTCTCTCTCTCTCTATCCTATCTCATGTTGATATGAATTTCTGTCTTTCGTAGTATTCAACTTTGCTCTACTTATTCTATCGTAGTTTATAGCATCCAAGTCTAAAAAAAAGGAAAAATATCAAAAACAGAGAATAGAACAAAAAAACAAACGATTTCTCTTACAATTCGTATTCTTTATCCCTCCTTTTCTCACTCTCTTTTTTCTCACTTATCCTCCCACTTCTCATTTTCTTCTTCGTCTCTCTCTCTCTCTCTGGTCAAGATTTGCTTGTCAATCACCTTTTGTTTCATTTTCTATTCTTCGGTGAACCGATAACATTGATCTTAACCTGGAACAATAAAAAAAAGTAAGAGAATAAAAATTTAACAGAGAAAAAGAGAGAGAAAATCTAGAACAATTCACTTAGAACATTTTTAAGAAAAAAAGTATCTATCACAAGAAGAAAATATCAGCTTGACTGAACTTTTTCATTCCTCGAAAAAAAAAACTAAAACGAAAAAAGTTTCAACAGAGAAAACAATTGCTTTTTTTTCTTTCTTTGATTACTAATCTTGAATTCTTGATAATAAATGTAATAATAATATTGTTCATCTTTCACTTATATTAAACACTCACTAATATAATATACGTATTCATTGGGATGAATAAACTTTTCCCCTTTTTCCATTACACTTTATTCAGAGTAATATGAGTTTCCTATCGTTGTCATGAAGTATTATCAGAACTTTTCTTTTCGGTAAAATAAAATGTTGACGATTAAAATTATCGAAGCAAAAATATATTGTTATTATCATGATAGTTATTATTATGATTACCATTTGAGATAAAATGATGATAATGTATTTCAAGTGAAGCGATAAAATATCAGTGTATTATTATTGTTTTCTTGTTGATATTTATTCAAATATAAAATATGATGATAATCATTAACATCATCTAATCATCTCGATAATCTACCAACAGTCTTGAAGATAATACTTATATATATATGCATGTAATATATATTTATCTATCATATTTCCGATTATTATTATTATTATTTAATAACAATAATGATAATTTATCTTACACTTTACAGAGTATTCATCATGTTAAAAGGATATTGATGACAGAAAACGGATTATTCAATGTAAATACAACGATAATCATGTATGATGATAATGTTATATAATGGGAACATTTTGCTTATCAAATGAAAGAGAAGTTTCCATTAGCACCTTTGGATAAACATTCTGATATTGAATTGAGCATTTTAAAGTTCGTAGCATTGTTATGTGTTTATACTAGTATTGCATATACGCTTGGAAAAAAATTCTGTAACATTTTCTTCAGTTGAAATCTTTTGATGCTTGTATTGATTTCGTTTTGATGCTTTGTTATTATGGCTTCGATTTTTTTTACTCTTTGTTTTGATTTCCCTTTTCGATTATGATATTTGATCGCCTTAAAAGCCATCATGCTGGTGATTGTCACCTTTGTAATTGTCAATTCGATGTTATTCTCACCAACAGCGTACCTTGTTTCTGCAGACCTTGTCGAAGACACCAGATTATGTGCAATTATGCTCACCTTTATTTCCTTGGCTCTCATTGCTGTTTCTTTACCTTTTTCGTTATTTTTTTGCATCAAGGTAAGTTAACGATTACATAAAACTATAAATTAGTATCAATCATGACAATTTTCCCATGAAAAACTTGTTCAGAACTTCATCTTGTTGCAACGATTTTCCAATTATTAATATATTCACTTGTTGTTCAAGTAGATTCAACTCTCTTTTGAATAATAATAGCAACAGAATTTCCGTTTTTCTCCCTTGTTCTTTATGAATAAAGAGAAAGAAAGAAAGAGAGAGAGAGAGAGAGAGAGAGAGAGAGAGATTCTCAGATTTCTTTTTATGAATATGAACTTTTTTCACTTCTCTTTTCTCCATAACAACATGTTGAGTTGCAAAATGTATTGAGAAAAATAATGAGTTTCTTTAAAATTCGTTACAATATTTAGATTATATCATCATTATAGCTTTTAGAATCTATTTGCCATTCATGATCAAACTCAGAATTTACATGATCCAAAAACTAATCTTGAATAGATAACATTGAAAGGTTTTCCATGTAACCAAATCTTTTTTCCCTTGTGAATATATTTTGATATCTCATTGATTATATGGTAAGTCAGAATTTTCTGATCAAGATTATCTCCAATGATAATGTAATCATGATGATTATCTTGATGATAATTTCCTTTTACTAAACACGAATGTGAGAAATCAAACAAAACATTACATTGACAATCAGTTTAATTGTGACAGAATTTGATTACTTACATTAAGTATTAAACTAAAAGGATAAAACTTCACAAGAGTATTGATACTCTGCAACTTGAGTTGAAGAATCAGGAAGAAATGATGATGAGGAAATCTCAATATTCATATTTGATTAGCTGAATTATCTCAATTTTGCTAATGAAACATTTTCATGGTAAAAGTCCTGAGGTTTTCTTTTGACTCTTCCCATGATCTGCTACTTTCATTATTACACCAAGAAAAAAAACACCATAATTCATACACACTAACCTTGAGCTGTTCCAATATTATCGTCATTGATAATTCATATAACTAGGAAAAAGAGGTCAGATAACGACAAGTCAGCATTTCTCATGAGATTTAAGATAATCTGATACATGTAACTGAATAATTCAGGTAATGAATAGATTGAAATAAATGAACAGATAACATGGTGAAAGGAAAAAAGTGAAATTATTCAAGTGAAAGGAACACAAGATAATAACTTAAATATTAATAATAATAAGATAATAATGAGAATAAGAGTAACAAAAAATTCTGTTTTTTTGTTCATGATAAAATTCAGAGGTAAGGAGATAAATACTCATTCTTAATTCACTAATTAACCTAAAAGCTAAATAATATTCTCAACATTTATCTAATATCAGGAATTGTTGGAATAAGAGATCTACAAACTAATTAGAAAAAAAAATTCTTTCCTTCTAATTGAGGTTTTTCTTAATTTCTTTCTCTAAATTGTCGATTAATTAATCATACAGATTAATTAATAAACGAACATGATAAACATAAATTAGATGAAATTAATATGATAGCAAAAATTGAATCGCTTCTTGGAATATGAACTTTTTTTTCTCATTGAAAAAAAAAGAAATGGGAAATCAATCATTCAAATGAAATTCCAAATTCTCATGAGATTTAATTACTTTCGATTTAATTAAAAACCATTATTTTCTATTAAATTAAATTCGAATCATAACAAGACTCATCTGACCCTGGAATTTGAATATCGAACTGAAGAGAGAAAGAGAGAAAAGTTCTTGTCTCAGTTGGAGGAAAATTCTTCACTGAAATTCCCTGGAAAAGAATGATAACTTTGGAATCATTTGATAACAGAAAATCGAGAAACTCACAACTATCAAGTTTCAAGTTCTCTCCCTGAACTTAATTTCAACAATAATCTTGATGAAAATTATTCTTTCATGATAATAATAATCATACCTGATGACATAAATTTAAATTATTATTAATAGTTATATAGCATATAGAATTAGGTGAAATCACAGTTAATTGAATCTATTAAATTACTCAAGTTATTAATCAATAATCATAACTGTTATTGTTCAGCTATTGAATTAATATCTACAGTTAATGTAATAATAATATCACCAATCAGATGAAAAAGTAATAAGTTTCAAGTGACTCTGAATATTGGTAGATAATTATAACAACAACCATGAAGAACATGTTGAAATGATTTATATATTTAATAATATCTTCAATAGTATTAACCTTTTCTTGACATTAATGATATTTCAAGTATTCTACTCTTGAATATGAATAACCTATTGATCGAGTTGAATTTTGAGGGGACAAGAAAATGAAAGTTCTAACCTTTAAATATGAAACAAATTTCGTCGGCATTTCGTAGAACTGAAAGTTTCTTCTTCTTATTTCAATCTCTTTTAAGGTTGTCCAAGAATACGAAAGAGCAGTTATCTTCCGTTTGGGTCGATTGGTGACCGGAGGGGCTCGTGGACCTGGAATCTTTTTCATCATTCCTTGTATTGATACCTATTCGAAGGTCGATCTTCGAACCGTTTCATTTGATGTTCCTCCTCAAGAGGTGATTCCAGCAATTTGTTCGTAGTGATAATTGGTCAATATGATTAATTACCTTTCGTATTTGTTTTTTTTTGCTCCTTTCCCACATCTTTGTTATTATTATCCAGATACTTTCCAAAGATTCTGTGACAGTTGCAGTTGATGCTGTCGTTTACTTCCGTATTAATAATGCCATAGCATCAGTATCAAATGTTGAAGATTATGCTCGATCAACCCGACTTCTTGCAGCGACGACACTTCGAAATGTCCTTGGTACCAAAAATTTATCTGAAATATTAAGTGAACGAGAATCAATAAGCCACATGATACAATCAAGTTTAGATGAAGCAACTGAATCATGGGGAGTCAAAGTGGAAAGAGTTGAAATGTAAGTATTAATAATATTAATTCATCATTAATAACTATGGTCAACTTTTATCTCGAACTTATCATTTCCTCTTAAACTCCACCCGAAAGATTATCTCTCTTTCTCTCTTTTTTAGCTAATCATTAGAAAATAATATCAAGAACTAATCAATTATCACCATTTCAGTTTCAGATTTCATTTTGGTTTCTTTTTGCTTGTTGTTCTTGATTGAAGTTCAATTAGTGGGTTTCTTTGTTTATCAATTGATTGTTAGAACAATTAAATTTCTGATGAATCTTATTCTCTGTTAGTTAAATCAGATAATCTTACCCATTCATCAATTCTCTGTCTTCTTAATCAGTTTAATCGAGGATAAACTGTTATATTGCTTTTTCTGGTTGGATTGAAACTTTCACCTCATTCCGATTCAATTCACTTTTACCATGAAAAGCTTCAAGAAAAGAGAGATAACTTTCTGAATGTTTTTGTCATCATGAGTCTCTCTCTCTCTCTCTCTCTCTCTTGAACAATACATAGTATAAGATAATGAAGATGATGAAGACTATCACTAGGAATTAGAGATTCTCTATGACCATGTAAGATGAACCTTCGTTTTATCAGATTAGAATAACTCTTTTCCATTATTCAGTTTCCATTAAGATAAACTTAACATTATCCTTGTCATTTTAAGACATGATTGAAGATGAATTAGGGTCTAGTTAATTAATTAGCTTGATTATGATCAAAGTTAAAGGGAAAAACTTTCATCAAAACAATTTAATCTCCATTGATGGTAGAAAAGAATTGAATAAACTGATATCATAAGAATAGATTATATTCAAAATGGATTATAATCTTAACTTAATCTCATGTTTATGATGATTATTTATCATAAATAAAAGATAATCCAGATAATTGACTTTTCAACGTTTCCATGATAATATTAATAATAATATCTAATCAATCAATTTGATTGTGGTTAAAATTTTCTTAACTCTCATTTAGTAAGGACGTTCGATTGCCAGTTTTACTTCAACGAGCTATGGCCGCCGAAGCTGAGGCAACTCGAGAAGCTCGAGCCAAGGTAATCGCCGCTGAAGGTGAGCAAAGAGCATCCAAAGCACTTAAAGAAGCCGCTGAAGTTATCGCCGATTCACCAGCGGCGTTACAACTTCGTTACCTTCAAACTTTATCTTCAATTGCGGCGGAAAATAATTCAACGATTGTATTTCCGGTTCCAATGGAGCTGTTCAGAGGTTTTATCGTTCAAAACAACAACGCCAACAATAATAATAACAGTAATCACACAAACAATCAGGCTAATCAACAACAAGGAATCAAACAATTAATTGAGATCTCCCCCAAAGAATAACCTAAATTGTGAAACAATTTAACATAACAACAAACTACAATTAACACACTTAACCAATGTGTGTATGTGCCTTTCTCATTTAACAACAATATTGGTAACAATTAACAGAAGATTTAACCGAGATCATCATTTAATTGTAACAATCAACTTTTAATGGATTATATTTGAATCTATCATTCATGAAATCCATTGATTCCGTTAATTAATTTTCATTAAACAATATATTATAATATCTATATATTGGCAACAACAATTAACTCAACCAGTTAATCTTGAGTTAATCATAAACAACCAAGAGAAGACTCAACAATTTGTTAATTGTTAAATTGGTATCTTTATATAATTAATTGTTAAATTGATACATTTAATCAACATGAGACAAGGTGAAAATAAACACAATTAAAGACACCAAACTTTTAACTGCCAAAACTTAATCATCTTTTGATCAATTGATCAAATTTTACAATTTAAAATTGAAAATGACAAATATGGATTTACTAATTGTCCATTTTAATTGTAACCTCTCATTTATGGTGTAATCAAATATATAAATATATATAAATTGAAACAATTAAACCAAATGATTAACTAATTTGCTTGCACGATGAATTGAAAATGTTGTAAAGCCAAAAATTAATAAACCATCAAAATGAAATTAAAAATTGAAACTGATTGAGTAACTACAATTTATTGATTATCGGCTACTAATTAACTGATTGTTGTGACTTAAATTTCCATGAGATTGATCAGATTAAAGTGATTAATTAGCGATAATTGTGACTGATGATGATAACTAAAATTTTTGGAACCTAATATTAAGTATCAATGGATTGGGGATGAGGCGATTAATGGTCAAAGATTAACAGTTAAGTGATTGAAAGTTGTTGAATGGTTAATGATTAAGGGATTGAATTAAGATTGATGAGATAAATTGTCAGGCTAATTAAATATTAACATGATAATCGGTTTCTGTAGGTTAAAGAGGAAGAGGAAACGGTTCCGCTTCCATCCTTGTATCTACCAATTTGTTTTGTTTCCGTTAACTTATATTTCAGTTCAATCTTTTTATTATTATCATTATTTTATTTGTTTTCTTTTCCATTTTTATCATGAAAATTTCATCATCTTTTCATCTTGATTCATCCTTTTACACACAAACACATAGTACATTTTACTATCATCTTCATTCATCTTTTTCTCATCTTTCAATCAATGTTTTGACAGAGTTCGTGACAATCTTCAATCACATTAACTACTTGACTAACAAGTAATCACCATGATCATCATGAAGACTAAAAGGTTTTTCAAAATCCTCTCTCAACGATATGAAAATTTCATCAGAATAATGATAACCTTGATTATTAGATGAACACATATTAGATTATGAAAATCAGTTAACATCATTTCCTTTCACTAGTTTTTTACATGATAAATTGTTTACTTTATCAACGATGAATTATAATTAAATTGAGTATATGTATCAAGGAATCTGAGGAATTTTCAACAATTAACTTGTAGGTAAACACTCTCGTCAGATTGATTCATCTCAATTATCGGCATATTCATCAAGATTATCATGATAATTCAATCAACCAGCAAATCTATGGGTTCATTTATTATTCAAGAGGAAAAATCAATTCACTTCCGTGTTCAGGGAATCTCAAAACATGGTAAATTTCATGGGGAATTTTTTTTCCTCTTCTTCTTGATTCATGAGATTTCATTTGTTGTATTATTTTTTTCGGTTCTTTCTCCAATTAATCAGAAGACTATTAACTAATCTGCCTCAAGTAATTAACTTCAAGTTAACTGAATAACAAGAAACAACAAAAAAAACATTTCGACAAGAAGGAAAATGATTAGAATAATTTTCAGAATCGATTGGACTGATTAACTTAATTGTCATGTAATTGAATCGTTTCAATAATCATCAATTGGTAATTAGATTATGGAGCAACTTTATATGGTTCTACAATGTAAATATTTTTCGAGTTAATCAAATTACATTTTAAATTTACATTACAATTGGTAAACAATCAGTCAATTGTTGGAAATATTTTACAATTGGGTTTACAGAATTGGATAAACATTTGAATAGATTAAGATTATCAACAAAGTTAATTACAATCAATCGTGTGTTCCTCTTGTTTTGTGTACAAGATCAGCATTTTTTTGGTTCCATTTTGATATATAAGTTTTATCCCGCTCTGAATCAAAAACTTTGTCTTTGGCTCTTTCGGTACATTTAACGATAACTTTTAATCGAACCTCACAATTAAATGTATCAATCAACTCTTGTCTTGCTTCAGCTGATATTCTGGCAATTAATCCACCCTCAGGTCCGATGATTGAAATCATTTTAGCACTTTTTGGACAGAGAGCTGTTATTACAATATGAAGATTTTTCATCTCATCAAGTTCCCAAGTAACAATACGAAATTTCAGTAAATAAGGTGTATCCCATTGTCCATGGTCAAGAAATTTTTCTCTCACGATGGAAATGGCGAGAGCCTGAGGATCTTGATTAGTAACAATCTTCTCATTGTATTTCCATTGACAAGGTTTCGCTGTTTCAATCATGTAATCCTTGAGTTCGTCAACTCCATCACCAGTTAAAGCTGAAACCATGAAGACCTTTGAAAAATTGGGCCAATACAAGTTGAACAAATCTTTGGGTAATTTTTCTCGTAATTCCTCACTTTGGGGTAAATCAGTTTCGACTGGTGATTGGGAAAGTCTCTTCTCAGTTTCTTCAATTAGCATTTTGATTGATTTAGCTAACGGTTTTCTTGTCTCTTTACGCTCTTTTCCCTCGATTGATTCACCTTCAATGAAACGTCCAGTCAAATTGTCAACAGCGGTGAGCAACATGCTCTTATCCTTGGTTCGGTCAACCTTATTTAGGACCAGTATTGATTTCTTATCCTTGTGTTTACTTAATAGTTTAAATGTCTCGTAATCAAGAAAGTTAATGTATCGCTTTTGTGAGGCATCAACAAGAACAGCTATTAAATCAGCAACTTTGGCAGATAAACGTGGATTATTGTACAAAGTATGTTCCAAATTAAAGTCAACACAGTGTTTCAATTTAACCAAACCCGGAGTATCAAGTAATTCAATCTGGGTTGAACCTTCATTAAATATTCCGATGATATTTTTCCTTGTGGTGTGAACTTTTCTTGAAACCGATGTGATCCTTAATCCAGTCAATTGATTAACCAATGTTGATTTACCCGAATTGGGTAGACCAATGATGGAAACTCTATTTAATCGTGGTTCATCTGGTTGATCAATTGGCAGTGAATTACGTCTTGAATACTCTGCTTTAGTACGGGGTATCCGCTCGTAAATAAAATCATCATCGAAATCATCAGTTATTTGATCATCTGTATCACTTTTTGAAATGGAAAACAATCTGACCAAAACTCTGGGACAATAATTCACCTTAAAACCAAGAGAACGACCAACTCCAAGGAACAAAGAAGCCATTTAAATTCTAAATACAATGAAAAACCACCAAATATTAATCAAAACAGAAACAATTAGAAGAGAAAAACAAAAACAAATTCTAATCAACAATTAGAATCCAAACCATGTTGTTTATATGAGAACCTTTGGTTACCATGGTTACGCCAAAATCTGTTCAAATAAGAAAAATATTTTCTTCTCATCTAATTGGTTGTGTTGATTGTTTTCCAATTGTTTCCGTGATTAATTGTAGTGTTTAAATTTACTAATTACAAATTAGACTGTCTAATTGTCACCACAAACGAACAAACTTGATTGGAATTCTTTTTTACCGTCTTGGTTTCCTTTTCTTTCTTTGTGATTGTTTTTTTCTCTATATTTTTTTCCTTTGTGTTTTTCATTTTTCAAAGAAAAAATCTAAATTTTTCTCTTTTGATTGTACAATTAAACTTGGACTCGAGATGACAACTTCACATGAGGCAACACTTAAAGCATATCAAAAATGGTTAAAAGATGCTATCAAATCGATCACCGATAATTATGTGGAAATAATTAAACTGGCAAAGGTTGATAATGATGGACTTCCCAACAACACTACACCATCTCGAGCACAAGATCATTATGAAGTAATTGTTAGAGCTGCTAATATGGTTCGAGCTCAGGAATCATTGATCAAATTAATCTACCAATTGAAACAATTCTATATCATAAACGATTTTAAATTGATCAACAAGGCAATTTCCAATGAGAATAAGAATTTCAAAGCCGATGAGATTGACATGAAGTTGACAAATTTACGAAATGAGATCACAGCTGAATTGGTCGTTTTAGAGGAAGAATATTACAATTCTTTATATAAATAGTTCCTCCAAACAAGGTTAACATTTTGTGTAATTTGGTCTAATAGAATAATTAATCGTCTCAATTAACACTGTACAATAATCCAAATCTGAAAAAGAAAAGACCAAAATTAAATGGTAAAAGATAATTGTCAACATCTCAAGTTATAAATCAATTCCATTCTGTGAATACAATTTTAAGTTCAACAGGAAAAGAGCTACAAATGAATTTAATATATTATTCATGTTCCAAGTTATGTATATATATATTATGTTATAATACAAGAATAATGGTTCAGGTTCGGACAATCGTATGGGTACTTAACTGTAGTTTTAATTGTAATTTCGTGTAGGAAATTATTGTTTCACTTTATCAGTAGTTTTAGTAATTTTATCGGCTTCATTTTCAGTCAACAAGCTGATGTCCTTTTGAAAAGCATAGGCAATGTATCTTTGTAACTTTTGAACTGCCGGTGGATTCCAATCAATTTGATCCCAAATTTTGTAAACAATAAAACCAAATACTAATGAAGATGATCCCCAACGTAATTTAAGAAAATGATTTGAAAGTCTTGGATTCTCTGAACGTATTGCATGAAGACCACCACCAATGGCGATTGCACCACCCAGCAAACCTGAGAATAGAAAAGCAAACATTAATGGAAAATGGATAATGAGAACATATGGACAATCATCTTTAATTACCAAAAGAAATTACTGGATTTGCAATTAGATTATTCAACAATCTTCGTTCACCAGAAATTCTTTCTAAATGAGAGTAATGAACACCTTCGTTGATCTCTAACCATTCCAAAGGTGATTTACCAGAACTTTCCGAGTATTCACTTGGCTTATCCACTATTCCAGGAGAATCAGGAGTTTTAACATCAGATGATTTATCGGCCATTGAGAATAAAATAAAAACAAATCAAACCAATAAATTAATTTACAATTAGAATGTTGTTTATAAAATTATTCTCATTTGTTGAGATTTTTGAAAAAAGTGATCAACTTTGTTTACCATTTGAAGAACAAAAAAAAGCGGTAACTTTGAACTTCTTTTCTAAATTTAATTTAATTAAATTCTCAACTACAATTCTAAATCTAATTAATTTAATCTCTTTTAATGAAATTTGATTAAAAATCAAGAATTCTAATTGAGAGAGAGAGAACGAACAATAATTTTAATTCTAATTTGATGAAGAATTTTGGATTTGCCAATAAAAGAAATTGAATTTGGCGCTTGATCGGTTTAAACTCCTCTTTTGATTGTTTTCATTTCATTTCTGTGATTTTGTTGGTTGAATTGTGATTGATTTCTAATTTTGATCATTACAATTTAATCAACGATATTAATTAATTTAATTTCTTAATCATGATTGATGAGGTTTTGCTTGATCTTCTCCATATCGAGCTTGTCAATACTCTAGTAACACCATCACCCAACAATAAATCGGTAAGATTATTTTTCCATTGAAAATTTTCTGTCTTTCAGTTAATTGTGTTTAATTTTTTTTCTTCTTCTTCTCTTTTTGCTAATTATTATTGTTTAATTATTTGTCCATCTTTATAGGAATTAGTTCTTACAGAATTAGAAAATGTTGGCCATAGTACAGGATACAGATTAATTGAAAGGTAAGAGTTGATGGTTGATGGTAACATCTATTGATTGATTTTCTTTTCTTTTTTCATTAGATTTGAGTGAGAGATTATCGTTGTTATTTATAATTAATTCTCTTTTGTAATTTCTCTTACAGAATAACAAAAGATTCACTTCGATTTAAGGATGAATTAGATATCATGAAGTTCATTTGTAAAGATTTCTGGTCAGTTATATTCAAGAAGCAGATTGATAACTTGCGGACAAATCACCAAGGAATTTACGTTTTACTTGATCATCGTTTTCGTTTTATTTGTAATATCTCATCATCTAAACAATTTACTGAATTGATGCCCAAATATTTGGCATTTTCTTGTGGCCTGATTCGTGGGGCTCTCGGTAATCTTGGTTTAAATGCAATCGTTACCGGTGAAGTTGTCAAACCTCCATCATGTAGATTCCAGGTACAGATAAACAAATCATGATAACATTTATTATATTGTTGCTTTCCACCTTTAATTTGCAACAAAAATAAATCAAAATTTATTTAAAATACCGATTCAAACTGTGAAATACACAAGTTTGCATTCAACTTGCTTAACTCTCGGTTTCCACAATCAAATCAATTCTCAATTAGTAAATCAAGTTGCAAGAGCAAATCAAATTTCCGTTGCAACATCCAAGCAAATTGTAATATCCAATTCAACCATTTTGAGTAAACAACTGAATTAACAATTGAAACAATGAGATGAGATATTCAGTTACCTGTATTAATCAGCAGACTTTGTCTTAAATTGTCAATATGATAATATCATAAATCGTTAACTGTAACAACTTCCGTTAACTTAGTCCAAAAAAAAAGTCACTTTGATTGTTTGCCAAGAGATGAAATAAAAAATCATCTCAATCAACAAGTAATCAAAACAAAAATTGAATGTTAATCAACATCATAAAGATGATGAGATAAATTGAAATGGATTAAAACAAAATTTACCTAATCCCAACAAATAAGATGATCTAAAAATGGAGATTAAGTTAATCGATCCATCAACGTTTAATTTATTGTTAATTGTAATTATTTTTCATGTTAATCTGATTGAACCTCTAAATAATGGAAGCAACAAATTAACCGATAAAAGTTTCTCACTTATATCAACAACTAAATTACCAACAACAATCAATCGCTCTCATTATCACCACCCTAATGATAATCGTCTAGTTAATTATGTGAGATCGTTACCTGGTTCAACTAATCAAGCAACTTTAATCTCTCCCAATACCGGATTAATTACTTTGAGTAAATATTATAACCATAAACGCCAAGGTAAAGATATTTTTGATGGTTGGGGTGGTTATCCTCATCACCCTGATAAAGATGAAGATGTTTCCAAAACATTCAGTTACCTGATGCCCATTTTACTCTTAATTGCTGCTGTTACTCTCACAATTCCGTTAATTGCTCTATTCTTTTTCATCTTTCTCTGGAAACGACCTCCGTCTTTCCTGTGTAATGTTCTGGATCCCGAATTGAAAAACATCAACAGTCTCAACGCTCAGCCAAGAGTTTATAATGGATTAATTAATCTCTTGTTAAAAGTGGATAAAGCATTTTCCAAAGGTGATCATGATTATGGATCATCGATAAAAAGATGAATCTACTGAACAAAATTCAATTTGGGAAAGTTTTGTTCATCGGAATAGATTCTAGACCTTTGGATTTACATCAATATCTCAAGTTTAATGTAAATGTTGAATTATTTTGTTTGATTAGAAATGTAAAAAAAGGTAAACATTTGTATTATTTATATATGAAAATTAACTAATTTGATTATATTGATTGGTTATTGACCTCGTCCAATACCAATTCCTTTGAAATTTGTTGGTTCGTTCATTTTAACAATCGCTCCATTAAAGACAAAATCACGAATCACACCAATTAATCGTTCCTTTGTTCCAGCCATTCCTCGAAGTGTCATTCCTTCCGAAAGTCCACCGAGATAAAGTCCACCATTAGCTGGACCTTCAATGGAATTGGTTCCTTGGCCAATCGAGATACAGCCACTTCATGATCATCCATATTCAAAGAGATTCTTAAGAAAAAGAGACAATCAAATGTTAAATTATTTTCTTTCTTTTCTACCAAATCATCTAATTAATTGTTAATCAATTGTTAAATTTTAATTACTTTCGATTCCTTTTCGATATGGTGACTGTATGGAAAGCACCATCGTTCACTCGGACCTCTGATATAAGTAAAGTTTCACCCGAACCTCCATTGAAACGAGCCTCAAGAAGACCTCCGATCACTGCCACTGAATAGTAGTGCTAATTTATGGAAGACAATTGTTATTTCAATTGCAATCAAATTAATGAGATTTTATTGTAACAGTAAAGCAATTGTATTAATACTTACATAATCTCGAGCCTTTTTAGTTTTCCCTTGGAAAGTGGACATAATCAGTAGAGTTTCCGATTGGTTTGTTTTAAAGGTGAAACTAAAGTCGCTCTCTTCTCCAAGAGGTCGACTATTCAATTCCAAGTAACCTTGACCTGTGAACTTGACAATTCGAGAGGTTCGATCTCTACAACCCGGAATTACACCGTAATTCTCAATGCTCAGTAAATTCAAAGGAGTTGTATCGATCTGAACATCTTTCATACATCCCAGGAAGTGTTTGAATGTATTGAGTGTCCAAAGATCTTGAGTGAAATTAGGGGTCACTCCACCAAAGTAAATTGGGACATGATTGAGATCCAATTGACTTTGACCTTGAGGAGCACTTCCTTCTAGAACTTCATCTTCTACCGATAAAACTCCCAACCATCGATCTCTTTCAGCAGCTAATCGAACCCACTGTCCATTATTGTATCTCTCCCGAGATCTTAATTGTAATCGTGATCCAGATCCAAGATTAAATTGGTACAATACTCGCCCGTCTTGAAGGGAAATGGACACGAAATCTCCAGTGTCTGGGTTGCCCGAGAAAAAGATGATCGCGTCTTCATCAAATGATCTGAATTGCAGAGCGACGATATACTTTTCTCTGTCATATCTTTGGATCTAAAGTGAGAATCAAAATTATTATTATTATTACTTATTAATAGTAGAAATTGATTTGTATCTCAATCAACTGATCACTTACCTGATCCATTGTAGCATAAGAACCTTCACCTTTGAACTGGAATGTTCCTGGATCAATGAGTTCGGTCACACCTTCCATGCAACCTCGACATCCTTGTGAGGTTTTAAAGTTCCAAAGGCCAATTCGTTGATCATCTAGATAAACTTCGTACAAACAGCCGGTGAATCGTCGGGTCTTCATTATGGTCGGAGCTTCAAAGTTATCCGGTAGACCGCCGATAAACAGGTTCGCGTTCCCATCCAAGTCCATTTTACATGATTTAGGGTCAGATGATCCCGTTACTTCATGAGTGTCTCCTTTATGTGCTTCTGTTGATGGTTGGACACTTAAAGTCACTAAATTGTTGACTCGGTTCATTTCAATCTTGTACCAGTGTCGAGATCGTAACAAGTTCCCGTCATTGGATTCAATGATTGTCGGATGTTCCAATGATTTAGATCCACTTCCTGTATTCCATGTAAACCGAATTCGTCTATTGATCATTTCCAATGCCATGAAATCAGAGTTTGTATTCGATGATATGAACAAAATCAACGAATTAGGAACATCTTCTTTGATTGCGTAGTTAAGACTAATTGTGTTCGTGGCCGATGGTTGAGTTGGTGATCGATAAGATTTCACACAAATCTCATCTCTTTCTGCTCCTAGTGAGACTCTTATCGAAGATGCTTTTTGACGAGACAAAAGGATTCGATGTTTCAAATCGGTAAGATCAAGTTCGAATCGAGTTCTTAATCCATCCAATCGTCTTTTAAGATTTTCCGAGTTCACCATAAATCGACTTGATTCTCGAATATCAGCTCGAGATTTATCAACAATCCGAGTGAAATTCTCGATTCCAGAAGCTGTTCCTTCATTAAGTCGTTCGATTCGAGGAGTAAGATCATCAATTATCTTCTTTTCTATTCCATCTATTCTTAAATGAACATGTCCAAGTCCTTCGAGAAGGAAACTCAACGTATGATCAATTTGTTTGATTCTTTCTCGCAAATCTTGAGGTAATTCATCAAGTGCCCGATTAATTAGTTCTAATGCTCGTCGATATGATAACAAATCTTTAGCTAGATTACCAAGTATCAATTGTTTCGATGAAAGGTCACTTTGTAATCTAGGAATTCGGTTGTCGTGAAGATCTCGAGCTGCTTCAAGTAATTCGATGCTTCGATCTCTCGCTTTCTGTGCTTGTTTAGTCAACGAATCGTCGATCCCTGGATAAGCCTCATGATAAGCGCGTTCAGCTGCTTCGTATGCTCGTTTAGCTGATTCTTCGGCTCGAGCTAATGCAACAACAATTCGCTCATAGACTCCAGCCGCTTCGAGAGCGTATTTGGAAAAGTTTTCTGTGTCGGCGAAAAGACCTTTCAAATATTCCAATTGTTTCATCAATTCCAATGAATGTCGTTGACATGGTTCCACATATTTGACAGTATATTCGGGGTTCAATCTCGACAAAGTTGACCTCAAGTGTTCCAAAGCCAATGTGGCATTTCTTAGATCCCGTTCTAAACCAGGAACTAGTCCATGTCGTACAGTCACATCGATCAACATTCCACGAGCGGCATTAATTAGTCGAGCAGCTTCAATCAAACTGGAATTGGCTTGAGATGCATGACCAGAACTGATCCTTAGAACTTCAATCACTCGATCACGAATTCTTTGTCCTTCGTTGATTCGATTCAATGTTAACTGGACTGGTCTTTGTACTCGAGTTTGAACAATGTTGAAAATCTCTGATAATCTTTGCTGCAATCGATCTAATCTCTTTCGGAAATCTCGATCAACATTCGGTGATCTAAGAAGACCAATTATCTTCTCAAGTAAAGTCTTAGATAATCGATTCTCTCTTGAGGCTTCATCGAGTCGAGGTCGATAGTTTTTCAAATTCAATTCGGCGATAATTTGTTCAGCACGGAAAAGATGTCGTTCCAAAGAGAATCCTCCTTTTCCATCGTCCATTCCAAATTTTCGAAGAGCATCAATAATTCGTCTCAAATCGTAAAGTAGATCATTTATATAATCGAGAAGATTTTCAGCATCGTCACCAATCAATTTGGTCTCTTCCACAATCATCGGTAATTTCGCTTCCAAACTCACTGTTCGAATGTACAGCATATCGACCAATGTTTCCAGGTCGAAATTGGAAGTAACATTATAAAGGATTCCTTTACCTTCGTCGATTAGGATCGATTGTCGTTGCAAAGTGTTGAGAAAATGCTTGTACTTGGACAATAAATGCAAGAATTTAGTATAAGGCAAATTTCCCCAATCGGTGGTTGGTAATTCGGCCAATGTCGCGTTAATTGAGTCTAAATCGTCGAGCAATAATCCAGTACATGGACCATCGCAATCAAGACAACCCGATTCAGTTTGCACATGACGAGGTAAACAAATTGAACAATCGCGACCTCGAAAACCCTCTTTGCAAGCACATTGACCAGTTCGAGGGTCACAACTTGATCCAAATGATCCATAAGGTGAACATGAACATGGAAGACAAAACTCCCGAGCCATTGGATCACCATAATATCCGACATCGCACTTTTCACAACGAGAACCAGTATAACCTGTCGCACAATCTGAACAAACGTAATCGCCTCCAGGCCGAGATTCACAGGTCTCAGCAAACGAGTGACCAGGAAGTGGACATTGACAAGGAATACAAGGTATCCCTTGAGTTGGATCACCAAAGTATCCGGAAGCACAAACATTACAAAAAGGACCTGCAGTGTTATCGGTACAATTGTAACAATGTCCAGTCTCTGGATCACAACTCCGAGATCGATTGTTACATGGACAAGGTTCTGCCCACCCAACTAGATCAATGTAATCACGGGAATCAAGATAATTGGGTTTCCTTTTCCGATAATAACCAATATTTGGATCTTGACAAGATGCACCTCGATATTGGGGTGGACAGAAACATTGTTCAACTCCAATGGCGGTGAAATTAACTGGCACCGAGTTCAGAACTCTCAGATCCTCAGCAACATCAAGAGTCACGTCGGTTAAACGGGCTGATTGTACATCGGGTCCAGATGAAGCTCGAATCAGAATATTCTGGACTTTTTGAAGAGCAATCATCAAATGTTTTCGAGTTACTTCAAGTCCTGGATTTTCGGCAAGAATAAAAGACGATTCGTGAAGTTGAATCTTGTAAAATTCACCCAAATAAGATGTCGAAGAAGATGAAGAAGATGATGAAGATGATGATGATAGAGATAAAGACGATTCTTTATCGAAATGATGTAAAACGAGTCTTTGGTTTCCTTGAATGATGAATAAAGGATAACGATTGAGAACCGAATCAGGGAATCGAGAATCTTGACGAGATTGAATTCGAAATGAGAGAAAACCATTGTAAGAATTAACTTTATCTCCAATAAATTCTTTTGGTAATTGCCAATAATAAGGTTGATCAGAAATGTAATTGCTTCCAATCACTTGTTTCGAATCTGAAGAATCAGGAATCACATTATAGCCCATTTTTAATTCCGCTGATTGTCCACTTATTCCAAAGGTCACTTCTTTCGGTGCGCTGGTGATTGTTGTCCAAGTTAATGATGATTGTTCACATCGAGAAGTTTTCTCGAAACAAAAGCAACTGAAACATCCAAGTGGATTCATCGCCGAAAGAGAAAATGTCGCGTCTTTACATCGATCACATCGTCGTCCCATTGTGTTCCTTTGCACGAACATTGTCCAGTCTCATCACATTGACAAATAGTCTCTGGATCACTTAGTCCAATTACCGATCTCAGGTCAAGTTTACAAGAAGAATCTAAGCTTCCGGTGGATGACAATCACATCGACGACAATTTGAAATCGATAATATCCAAATCGACATTTAGAACAGTCTTTGCCTTCGAATCCTTCTAAACAAACACATTCTCCCGTTTTATTGTGACACTGGTTATTAACCGATCCTTGGATATCACATTCACAAGCTTTGCAACCTTCGACAATGTCCAGTCCATAAGTACCGGAGCACAATCACGACAATCTCGACCCGCAGTGTTGGGAGGACATTCACATCGACCCGTTTCTGGGTTACAAATGTGATTCGCTTCGTAACATTGGTCACACTTTGACATCCACTGGGTGAGAATCCATAGAATCCACTTTTACACGAGTCACATTTAGAACCTCCGATTCCTGGTTTACATTCACATTGTCCAGTTAATTGATCACAAATTGATGATGTTGATCCAATTGGATTACAATCACAAGGTGAACATCCTTTTCCTGAATCAAGATTCCAGAATCCAGATCGACATCGATCACAAGCTCTTCCTTCAACAAATGGCTTACATTTACCTTTAGATAAGAAGACAAGAAGAAAAAAGATTAAATCATCAAAATTATTTCTCTCTCTTTCTCTTTCTCTTTCTTCATTTACTTACATTGACCACTTATTTCATCACAACTTTTTCCTTCTGATCCTTTTGGATGACAATCACAAGGAAGACAACCTCGAACTGAGAATCCATAATAACCTTCGAGACAATGGGAACAGTGTTGACCAAATATTCCTGGTTTACAATGACACTGACCAGTAATTGGATCACAATCAGACGAAGATGAACCAATTCCATTACAATTACATGCTGGACATCCCAATTCAGGATTCCCATGACCAACAGCACATCGATCACACAATCGACCAGTGAAATTGGGCTTACATGAACACTGACCAGTCTTTGGGTCACATTGAGGGTCATTCGATCCTGACAAATCACAGTTACAAGGTTTACAATCACCCAAACTTGGATTACCCCAATGATGAGGTAAACATTGATCGCACTTCCATCCAGTCGTATTGGCCGCACATCGACATTGTCCAGTTCGTGAATCACAACCTCCAACCACTGAAGTGTCCACATTTGGACCACACTCGCAGGGGAGACACTCGCCCCCAGGAACACTTGGATCACCATAATAACCCTGCTTACAGATTTCACACTTGTCTCCAGCATAAGGCTCGATACAAGCGTCGCAAATGTAATCGTCTCCTTTTTCCGTGAGGACACAAGTCGGTGAAAAGTTGTTCGAACTCAAGGTCAATGGACATGCACACGGCTTACAGTCTTCCGGTGTTCCACGAGTCGGATCACCATAATAACCTTTCTTACACTTGGAACAACCTGTACCTTCCGTGTTGTGTAGACACTCTGAACATTCACCGGTGAAAGGGTCACAAGATTCCGCGTGATTGTTACAATTGCACTTCTCACATCGACCTCCGACCAGAATATTGTTCACCCTTCGGTAACCTGGTGCACTCTAAACACGATAGTCCCATGTAACCCTCAGGACAATCACAAGACTCGCTCCAGTTTGTTTGTTCAGAGACTTTGAGTCTTTCGATGCTTGTTCCATCTCGACATTGTACATGGACCCTTCGATCTGGTCCGTGTGGAACTTGGCTCGAATCAACATGTTCCGTAAATTGTACAGAACCAAAGTGAACTCTTCTCGAGACACTGGTCTCACTCGACGTCCATCACCGTCCAAAATGTACCAACCGTTTTCTCGCAAAGGTAAAGTCAAAGTCACTTTATCCTCGTTCTCATTTTTGTCATATCTCTTCCAGTTGTAACCAATTCTCATCACATTTTCCGGTCCACCGTCCAGAATAATGTCCGCATCTTCAGTGTAGTAACCGGAAGTGTCTCCTCTCAACACCGTGTATCCAATCATGAACCTCAGGTCACCCCCGTAAGAGTAAAGTTTCTCACCAAGGTAAGAATCAGGAGCCATCCAATAGTAAGGTGAAGACATTGGCTGCATGTCGTCATCAGCGATCACCAAGTGTTCAGATTTTCGTGTTGGAGTGACCACTTTCTTGCCAGAGAAATCTGATACTTTCCAAGCTTCCAGGTGAGCGAGAGATGAGATCACCTCAACTCCCCAATCGGAGGATTTACACGAAGATGTCGCACCGAAACAGAAACACGGGGCACATCCATCGGGATTGTCCGCCGATAGATCAAAGTAACCTGCTTTACATCGGTCACATCGATTCCCTTCGACATTGGCCTTGCATACACACGTTGGACCATCACAAGCCTCAGGGTTTACGACTCCCGCTCCGTTACAATGACACGAGTCACACCTTGGATAATTGCGATAACCTGGAGCACAAGAGTCACAGTATTTACCTTGGAATCCTTTCTTGCAAATGCAATCACCCGCTTCCAGTCCCGTTAGAACATGGCTACTGTCCTTTATACAATATTCGGTAGTTCCTCGACCTCGACATTGACATGGTCGACATGGGGCAGTCTCATTATTAATCGAGCTACTTGAGGAACTCAATCCTTTACCTGGACGGAAATATCCATCTTCACATTGATCACAATTGTTTCCCGTTGTATGAGATTGACAATTTATACAAACACCTCCGCCCGATCTAAGGCCATGAACATTGACACTTCCATTACGAGAATCGACATTTTTATCGTAAATACATTCACTTGAATGTCCATGACATTGACATGCTTTTGGAACATGAGAAGAAACAATTAGAAATTAGTTGATTGTTTTCTCTCTTTTCTTTTCTTCCCTCTTTTCTTCCCTTACCTTCACAAATTGCGATATTTCGTTTGGTTGCCTGACGATATGGTCGTTGATTGAATAATGGACAACACTTTTCACAATTATCGCCACAAGTATTATGAAGACAATCACATTTACGAAGTAAAGTTGCTCGATCCACTGGACAAGCTCTTGCGTGACCATTACAAATACATTGACCAATAATCTCAATATTTTGTAAAGTATAATAAAGCTGAGAATCAATAGAAAATCAAATCATAAAATCATTAGAATCTAAAGTATTGTAGACACAAAGCTCTTACCTGATTAGCCGATGTTAAATTGAATCGATCTGAATATGAAAACAAATTCTTCTCATCCCATGGAACCGAAACCTTTTGTAATCGTAATCGTATGAATCGAGCCTTCATAAACTGTTTCAATGTCTCTGAAAAGAGATTAGCTCCTGGTCGACCTTCACTCAATGAAAGATTCACCTATTTAGAGATACAAGATTAGAGATTGAGAGATTGAGAGATTAATAGAGATTATGAGAAAGAAAGATAAAGAAATTGACCAATTTACTTCTCCATATTGAAGTTGTCTCAATGTTGAATAATATGAAGTACAAATAACTTCATCATCTGATCGGTAATGAGGAGGATGAGATGCAATTGGTTTAGTGCTAAAGAAACGCCAACAATCAGTGTTACTTATTGCGAAAAACTGCCAAGGTTTATATTCAACTCCATCAATTGACCTTTCGATTATCCAATTTCCAGGTAAAGGTGATCGTCCAGCCTTAATTTTGACCAAATGAATTTGAAAGACTTGCTTTAAATCAACAGTGATTGTTACCCATTCATATTTATCGCTTTTCTGTAGAGTTGGACTTTGCCACCACGAACTTGTACCATCGATAACATTTGATATCGGATGTCGTCTATCGGGATTTAAACTGGTCGCATCACAAACACCACATTCATTGTCTCGAGTCAATGAGGGATAACAATAAGGCTCTGGACCAACTTGACCACAGGTCGAGTTGACAGTTATTATTGATCCTTTAGCGAGATCAAAAGTCTCGGGATAAAAAGCTTCAATGTCACCTAATAGTCAATTGTTATCGATCAGTTAATTAATAATTAACGGATCAATTGAGAAAATAAGCATTTAAACTGGTCAACTGGTCAACTGTTACTTACTTGAATCAATTGGAAGATCTGATCGAGAAGAAGAAACAATTTGTCCTGAATTCAATTGGAAACTTATCACAATCACACATATGAACAATGGATTAACCATAATTATCACTTTTTATTATCCATGTGGTGGATTAAAATAGACGATTAATACATGTATTATATCAAGAAAACTTTTCTCTTTTTCTCTTTTCTTATTCTTCTTCTTATTATTATTGGTCCAGAATAACGTTGATTATTCAGATACATTGAGATGTTTAGATCGTGGGTTGTTGATCCAGTCCTGTTTACCTGTTTTCCAGGTAAATTTGTATTTAGAAAACGGGAAAAGTCAGAAAAGATAAACGAGAAAGAGAAAGAGAAAGAAAGATGATAAAAGATTGACTCTAATTCCATTTATGGTTACAACTTTATCGAGTGGGTGGTCAAGATAAATTCGGTTATCATCTTAATCCATTTAAATTTCACAATTTCATTTTTTTCGTTAGCATCTGTTTATCGAACTCATGAGTACTGTACCTTTGTCATTCAAGTCGAATGCTGATCAAGGTTAATAAAGTTCATTCGAGTACAATAAGTATCACAATCAACTTTTCTTTCGGTTACAAAATCCACCGAATCATCAAATAAGTTCACGAAACAATTAGTGAGATTAAATGAACACCAAAACAATCAAAAGTTCATGAACATCTCACCATAATAATAGAAAATTCATTGAGCATTTAGAAAATAAACCCATCAAACAATTAGAATTAAAATAAATTTAATTGAAATAAATCGAAAGTCCATCGACTTGTGAAATTTTGATCATATTACAAAAGATTAAAGTTATAATTTAATTCACATGGACTAGAATTAAATTCATCATGTAATTGTATAAATTCATATCCTTTACAAAGTCTAAGCAATTAAATCTCGTTGAACTGTTATCGTTACCATCAAGAAGTAAATCTAAATTAAAATCGGCCAATTAACTGCCAGGTAAATCGACAGGATAAGTTAATTAAACTGTCTACGATATTTACCTTAGACATTTGAACCATATCTCAGTTAATTGTTAACATTGATGATATTAAATATCAGAATGAGGAAAAAATTTCTAACCATATGAATAGAAATGGTTAATAATAAACAGCCAAGTTAATTTATATTAGATTTAATTACAATTTAATTTGTTTACTAGGAAGATGAAAAAATAAGCTTATTTCCTGGATACATAATACACAAAATTGTAACCACAATTTACCATAATAATATAAATACATTTCGATAAGCAAACAATTAGTTAATTGTTAATCGTTGGTAATTACAAGGTAATATTTACATTCCCCAATTTAACTTCTCTGTCAATTGTTATATTTTTTTTTCTTCATCGTTACGATTAAATTAATTTTAATTTCTAATCTTAACCATCGTAACTTAAGCTAATACGTTTCACTCAATTGATCATCATGATTAACTGAATTCAAATTGTATCAATAGTAAATATTAAAACTAATTGAACAAAAGTAATTATCAATTAATATGATTAAATCACGATGATAATAATTTACGATTTCTCTGGTTAATCAATGTTAATCGGTCCATGAGTAGTCTTATTTAACTTTAATTGTTGCAACGGACCTTTAATTAGTGGCCATTAAATTGTTTATATCTACTGATAGTAATTAATTTTCTAATCTGATATATGATTAAAATTTGAACAATTTAAAGAATTAAAAATGATCTTTTAATGATTTTCTCTCCATCATTACTAATCCTTTACCAGAACAATTCATTAAATCACAATTTTGGACAATTAACGATTTAATTTGTTCACCAATGAATGAGAAATAAAAATATTAGGTGATTAATAAAATACATTTATTGCTTTCTAATCACAATCAATTGATTAACATTTCATGTTCTCTATTAACTTTCTCACTATTTCATTTTCTTTTGTTTCTCTCTCTCTCTCTCTCCCTGAGTTTTTATCATCTTCTTTATCACTTGCTACTTATTCATCATTCCATCTCCTTCTTCCTGTTCCCTCTTCATGGTTTTCTCATAAATTGATGTTAGATGAAGATGATTAGAGTTTTTTTATTGTTTTCTTTTTTATGTTGCTTGTCTATTTTTTTTCTTCCATTCTCTTTGTCTTTCTATTACCATTGTGTTGACTGACTAACGAATTATTATTTTTTGTTTTATTATCATTTTTTCACCTTGAGGTGTGAATTTGATAGAATTGAATTGTAATCTGAACTTGGTGCTGGGAGAAGTAGTGAAGATGTTGGAGCAAGTGATGAGATTGTATTGGATGTTGATGGTGTCAGGGAAGATGATGGTAAATAAGATGTTATCAAAGATGAGGATGAATGAGATGGTCTTAAATTTGAAGTATTAGCTTCAGACAAGAGAGAATGAGATGAGAGTGAAGATTGTTGGTGTTGGTGTTGTTGTGCGATACTTGATTGTGGTGTTAATTTAGTTGTAGATGTTATCGTTGGGTTAATTGTCGTTAGAGATGACGAAGATAATTGTTGTAACGGTGGTTGATGGGTGTGGTTATTGGCATCAAAGGTAATTGGTTTAATTGTGTTTGTGAAGCTTGGCATTGGATTTGATAGTATTAATGAAGATGATGAAGAGGAAGATGATATTGATGATAAAGATGATGACTTTTGATGTTGTTGTTGTTGTTGTTGTTGTTGATGTGGTGTTGACATTGATCCAATTGATGTGATTGATGAATCAATTTCTGTAATTATATTGTTACTGGAGTTAATTGTTATCGGCCTAATAGGATTACTATTTAGATTACCAGAAAATGGTAATGATATTTTATTTGCTGCTAATTGTGAGGATGTTGAAACAATCAACGGATTTGCTGATGGTCTAATGTTTGATTGTGAGATATGATTTCCAATTGATTGTTGTGGTTGTGATTGTGATTGTTGCAGCCCAAGAGTATTTGATGAAAATAATGAAGAGGATGTTGATACATTTGGAACAGGGGATACCTTGGATGTTCCCATGGTTATCGTTGGTTCCAGGAGTAGATGAGGTTTATTGTGAGGTGTAAGAGCAGCTTTGGTTAAATCACGAGCAAGTTCACGGGTGAGAGATGATGTTGGGTGGACATTGATTGGTTTACCTTTGGGCCGAGATTCAGCTTCCAAAAATTCAACAAACATTTTAGATAAAGATCCAGAGGTACCTGTGGTGGGTTCATTGGTGTATGAGGAAGTTGATGAAACATCTATTGAAGAAGATGATGAATGATGATGATAACCAGTTGATGAAGTAGTAGTTGTAGTAGAAGTTTGTAAAGGCGCTAATAGAATGGATCCCGCTGATGTTACCGCTGTAGATGAATGAGATGTTGGGTTAATTAGTGAGGATGAACCGGAAGAAGTGAAAACATCAAGGCCAAACTTACTCGTTGGACGTCCAAAGGATAGACCTGCACGGATCATTTCCTGTTCATTAAAATCTAACACTCGGGCCAATAAACGTTCAACTTCATGCTTTTTATCATTGGGTGTACCAAAATAGCCTAGGATCAGGTTTTTAATGACCTGCTTGTCAACCTTTCCTTCAAAACTGGCTTTCAAATTAGCTTTGTCCACCTCAAGGTTAGATATTTGTTTCTCTTTGTCGCAAACTATGTCACCATTGTGTGTTTGTCAATTATCATTATCATCATTACAATACATTAATATTCATTGTGTTATATGCACATGATTATATGACATGTAGTTGTTGTTGTTGTTGTTGGTGGTGGTGTTGTTGTAATGTATTTTTATGAGTGCGTTTATTATTTACGTAGTTTGTATGTAATTTTTTGTTGTTGTTCATGTTGTCAGTTATTGTTGAGTATGTGATTAAGTTTGATTGTTGTTCATGTTGATGATAATTTAGTGGTTATAATAGAAAGCGGGTGGAGAAATGGGAGAGGGAAGAGAGAGAGAGAGAGAGAGAGAGAGAGAGAGAGAGAGAGAGAGAGAGAGAGAGAAAAAGTTTTCTTTTTGTTGGTTTATTTGTTTTTTTTTCATCGATATTATTACTTACATGTTGATTCAAGATTCGCACATTCGCACTAAAAACAATACTGTAAATATTATTACTAATATTCCCTCAAGTTTATTGTAATGGTGATAATTAAGGTGTGGGCGATGATGATGATGTTGATTGAGCTTTTCTGATGGTGAAGATGATGATCATTTTGTTAATAATAATTTACTATTTCGTTTGGACGATTGAATGTGTGACGGTCGATGAGTTTCACATTAAGTACTGGATTAAAAATTGATGAACCAATACCTGATGTAATACTCATAGACCAAATCACACTTTGATCATTTCATTAATCGTTGAGGAAAATAATTAACTTCAAGTTTGGAAGTAATTAAGACAATGATGATTATTATGATGAGAGATTTGAGTGAGTGAGAAAGATATGATTATGATAAAGATGAAGAGAGAGAGAGAGAGAGAGAGATGGAAAAGAGTAAAAAAAGAAATGATAATAATAATGAACGAGGAAAACGAAGACTAGTCTTTTGGTTTATATAACATGGAAAATATCAAAGATGAAAAAGCCACTTACTCAGTATTTATACTAACTCACTCACTCTCTCTCTCTCACCACCTCTCTTATCATCTTCATCTTCTTCTTCTTCATCATCATCTTCTTCTTCTCTCCCTCTATTAGTCTGCAGAAAAAAAACCGTATAACCACAGTGAGGGTGTTTCATAGTGAGCAAGGAGGCGGAGGAGGAGGAGATGGGGAAAAGTTTCCAGTCAGTGGATTATTTTTTCTTATGATATTTCAAACCAATCGATGCAACTCAGTAAAACGGTAGACATTTCATTAACCAAGGTGGGATCCGAGGCGGTACTCACATGCTACAGTCTTGCTTTTTTTCTGCCTCATCATCATCATCATCTTTCCCTTCTTAATATTCACTCACTCTTCCGCAGAGATATGATACAACGTGTATGCATAGACACACACACACACACAACACTCACACAATACTCACAGACTATTTGTGAACATCAACAATTAATGTTGGTTGAAAACAAAAGTTTCACTTGGAATTTTCAAAATAACAATCATAATGTTCATTCATCATCTAAATCATCAAAATTTTACCTACGATGATTGTTGTTTTTTTTTCTCTTCTCCTCAACAACTACAGTATATCAGCCATCTCATCATCATCATCATCATCATCGCCATTTTCTTTATCCCTCTTATCTTCCTATCATTTTTTTCACCTTTAATCTTTTCAAACCACAGTTTCTACAATTACAGGTAACATACTAAGCAACATGATCAATGTTACCAGAGATTATCAAGTAACATTTTCACTTTAAGAGGATAGAGAAAGAGAGAGTCAACATTTCATCTTTTCTGATGTATATTATGAGAAATATAATTTCAATAATCAATCAAGTAAATTCATGATCATTGAGTTACTATAAATGACCAGAATTTGTGTAGAAAATGAATTAGTAACTGAATAAATTGACTTTGCAAATGCTTCGAGATTGAAGTTACCTGTGTTTATGATGATGATTAATCAAGATATGATGGTGATAAGATGATTACTGTGAATCGTAATAATAAACATGCTATTTGCTTATTATTATTGTTTCACCTTCTTGCTCTTTTATCTAATCATTTCTCCCATGTTAATATCTTTGAAATGTTTTCCATTTTACCTCATTTATTGCTACCTTGATATACCTTGAGTGGGTTATATTACTACTTTTCTTGTTTACAAGGTAAGTTGATATTAATTATCATGGTCGTTTTTTTGTGATGCGACAAAAAAAATAGTGACTTTACAATCTTGAAGCACAACACAAATGATTATGATTAGTTTGATTGAGAATTTTAATCCATTTTCATCTTCATCATCATCTTCATCTTACAGGTTTCACCTAGAAAACTTTTCTTGTTTCTCTCAGGTTGTGAACTATATTAATATTACACAGAGAGAGAAACAGCTTATCAGTTTGGATCAACAAAAAATAGAGATGAAGACAGACGAAAAGAGAATAGAACATTTTGGAGAGAGAGAGAGAGATGATAAGAAAATATCACTAATGATATTAGTCGCTCGATAAACAAGCAAGGTAACAGTATTAAGTGAATTATTTTATTTTTCTCTCTCCATCCTCATCATTTATCCTCTTTCATCTTATCAGTATCACCATTAATAGTAAATGTATTATTATTACCATAGGCATATGTTTCTTGTTGACAAGAGAGAGAGGGAGAGGGAGAGAGAGAGAAAGGTGAAAGTATCAATTTGAATTGTGGGTCCATGCAAACAACATTTTTCAATTTGATTATAATAAACCGGCAAAAATACATCACCATCATCATCATTATTATTATCACAATAATCACCATCATTACAATTATCTTGCTACCCATTAGTTAATTAATGAGAGAGAGCAGCGGTTTCTTAACAGTATCATTGATTTTTACGTTATCACCTTAATACCTTTTTCATGATAATCTTTTAATCTTTCATCTTGAATCAGAGAGAATAAATTGTATTGAGAGAGAAAAGTTAAACTTACGTTCTTGTTTCAAGTTTTGAATAATTTCCTCCTTTTTGTCGATATTTTCTGTCAATCTTGTTGCAGCTTCAAGAGCTTGAGCTGATTCCATAGACTTTTTTTCATACATCTCAACTTCCTGTCGTAAATCATTTTGTATCATTCGCTCTGACTCTAGGGCTGCGAGATGTTGCCTGGTTAAAGAAGAGACTTTTTTTTCATTCTCTGTAAAAGAGAGAGAGAGAGAGAGAGAGAGGAAATAGAACAAAGTTAGTAGATGTTGGCTAATAGATTGATGTACATGTAGAAGTAGTTGTGTGAACATCAACAGCGAAAATGGAACAAAACTAAAATTAATGACAAGGCAATTAAAAGAAAAAAGAACATGAAAAAAATACGTTTTCCTTTTTTTTTCTTTTCTCTCTGTTGTTTTATATTCTTTTCTCAATTTATCTGGTAAATTTGCGTGAATGTTTTTCCATCGATGGAGCTGATACTCGTCTCTCTGCATGTTCGTGGCTAATTAAAAACGTAACACAGTCTAGATTAAATTACAGTGTTTTCCAATTCACTTAGGGGTTAATATGCATCCATGGTTCCAACCATAAGCATTAAACCATTTTTCAAGTTTCTTTCTCTTTTTTGTTTGGTATCAAACCAAATTTTGAGAAAATGATCAAACTGATCTCAGGTCACATTTCGTTTAGTGCAAGTGATATTTTTGCTCACCTTTGAAAGGTATAATAAACCTTCAGAAAGGCTAAAGGTTAGGATGAGTAGCAATAAGAAAATGGGTAAACTTAGAGTCTCAATTCTGGTGAGAGAGATTAGTAGCTTGTTGATGTGGCATAACTAATGGTCAGTTTGTAAAATTAAAATGTTCTTGAGGTTAGAGAGTAAGAACAGTGAAATATTAGTTACTTGAAAAGTGACCAATCAATTCACCTTGTAAATGAATTTGATAAAATTTTACCAATTTCGGTTCTACAAGATGAAGAATCGGCTTTTCGAGCTGATATAAATACGTCCAATTTACTAATTGAACATTTTACATGTGAAGAAATGAAAGAAAAAAAACTGTCGCTTATTTGATTAGTTGACACTTTAGATAGAAGAGCCGATCAATTAATGCCATTGACATTCTAACTTTTCCGTTGTTTTTTTTCATGTGTAATTAGAATGTTGTTCATTTTTTTCATCCTGTAACCATTTCAATCGTTTTCTTGATGATGTCCACACATTTGGTATCATTAAGGTTCGACTTATTTACCTTTTTGTATCTGTTCAATTACGAGCTGTAAATTTGTAACCGATGCTGTTAACCGATGGACCTTGTCATCTAATTTGGAGACATCATCTAGAGCTGCATCTCGTTCAGATTTTAACTGTTCCATTCGTTCAGACCAATTGGTTGGTTGATCAACTTCTCTGATACAATTTTTCAATTGTCCGATAGTTTCAAGAGCTTGATTCAATTCGTTCCTGGCTTTTGATTCTCGATCTTCAAGTTCCAATATTTCACTTGTATAATCATCTTCAACAGTAATTAGGCGTTCTTTTAATCTTTTCAGTTCATCGGTTAACCTTTTCTGTTCTGAGATTAATTTTTCATAAGATGACTTGTCAATAGTAACCGTTTCTACGATATTGGGAATAGAATCATTATCAGGCTTTGAATTTTCAATACCAGGGATACTATTGTTTCTTTTTTCATCAGTAAATTGAGTAATTTCTCTTGGTAATTCCATGGTTTCGTTTTCTATTCCATCGTCCTTGCTTAAATCAGTCTCCATTTCACTTGTCTCATAAGATAAATCTTTCTCTGTCTCAAGGTTTTCTTCTGTTTTCAATTCATTATCATAATTGGCATCATCTCCAGCGACACCATCATCACCACTTCCCTTGTTGGTATCACCACTTTTTTCACCAGCACCACCATAATCTTCAACTTCTATTCCACCAGAATCACTGAGAATTACTTCTGATTGCATGTTCACTTGGTCTACATCACCGGTTTCATTGGCCATCGAAGCTTCCGTTAAATTATATCTTCTATCTTTAAGGTTACAGATATTGCAAGAGTTCGTGTACCCGGTGGTTCAACGAATAAACAAAATAAAATACAAAATAATTAAAAAACAATCACAGAATAATTAATTAAATGAAAGTAGAGATGAGACAAAATCTCAATTAAAATTGACACTCATCAGCTGATCGCACAACCTGAAGCTCCATCTACCGGATAACTTTAAATCCACGAACAAATTGTTAATCGTAATCGAGAGGTTAAAGTCGTGGCCCTTAGCCCCCGATGCCACGGGTTCAATTTCGAGCTGGTCTTTCATCTAGTCCCACAAAATTGAAACTAAAACCTTAATTGTTGAAAACTCTGATAATTAGCATTAACATGAAGCTTGCAATATCCTCTTGTAAACTGAACGGTTAGTTTAGTGGTTAAATTTAATACATTTAAGTTTATCCATATTATTAGGGAAACAATTAATTTCTATTATTTTTGTCACGTTAATTAGTTGAACATTAAATTAATCATTTGTTGAAGTGATTAAGTTGAAATTTTTTAAAGTTCGCTGTTAGTTTCATTACTTTTTGTTTGGTTGGATTTGATTGTCAATTTGGAGATGAAGTGATAACAATGAAATTGTTTGATAATCAAATTGATTGTCAATGTTAAGCAGCCATTTAATCATAATTGTTCAGCCGTTTTGTTACACAATTAATTGGTAACAAAAAGAAGCCCGAAAAAAAGTTTATCGTCTTAGAAAATTTAATCTGATACAAAAAGTATTGAAAGGTTTCCATATACATATCGACCTGATTATTTTGTGTTCGAATTATTTTTTCAAATTGATTGTTAATTGTATCACTATCAACAGCTTCAGAATTGCATGTTGAGATTTTCGCAAATTTTTTTATCAATGAATGAGCGATGGAACAATAATCACACTAGTCCATTCAGTTATTGAGAGAGTGTCCGTCTATTCATTTTAGTTAAGAATTTGTATTTTATTTAATTACCATAATAGTGATGGAATGAAATGGATACTAGTAAATTTCGGTAATTAGTTTAATTAAGTTGATCATAGAAACATATTTATATCAATATTTGAAGAATATCAATTGTAAATTTGTCACATTTGCTAATTGAAAGGTCAGAGAATTGGAAAGATAAAAGATTAGAATGGATTAAGATGATAACTGAATTTATCTTGACCACCCACTCGATAAAGTTGTAACCATAAATGGAATTAGAGTCAATCTTTTATCATCTTTCTTTCTCTTTCTCTTTCTCGTTTATCTTTTCTGACTTTTCCCGTTTTCTAAATACAAATTTACCTGGAAAACAGGTAAACAGGACTGGATCAACAACCCACGATCTAAACATCTCAATGTATCTGAATAATCAACGTTATTCTGGACCAATAATAATAAGAAGAAGAATAAGAAAAGAAAAGAGAAAGTTTTCTTGATATAATACATGTATTAATCGTCTATTTTAATCCACCACATGGATAATAAAAAGTGATAATTATGGTTAATCCATTGTTCATATGTGTGATTGTGATAAGTTTCCAATTAAATTCAGGACAAATTATTTCTTCTTCTCGATCAGATCTTCCAATTGATTCAAGTAAGTAACAGTTGACCAGTTGACCAGTTTAAATGCTTATTTTCTCAATTGATCCGTTAATTATTAATTAACTGATCGATAACAATTGACTATTAGGTGACATTGAAGCTTTTTATCCGAGACTTTTGATCTCGCTAAAGGATCAATAATAACTGTCAACTCGACCTGTGGTCAAGTTGGTCCAGAGCCTTATTGTTATCCTCATTGACTCGAGACAATGAATGTGGTGTTTGTGATGCGACCAGTCTAAATCCCGATAGACGACATCCGATATCAAATGTTATCGATGGTACAAGTTCGTGGTGGCAAAGTCCAACTCTACAGAAAAGTGATAAATATGAATGGGTAACAATTACTGTTGATTTAAAGCAAGTCTTTCAAATCATTTGGTCAAAATTAAGGCTGGACGATCACCTTTACGGAAATTGGATAATCGAAAGGTCAATTGATGGAGTTGAATATAAACCTTGGCAGTTTTCGCAATAAGTAACACTGATTGTTGGCGTTTCTTTAGCACTAAACCAATTGCATCTCATCCTCCTCATTACCGATCAGATGATGAAGTTATTTGTACTTCATATTATTCAACATTGAGACAACTTCAATATGGAAGTAAATTGGTCAATTTCTTTATCTTTCTTTCTCATAATCTCTATTAATCTCTCAATCTCTCAATCTCTAATCTTGTATCTCTAAATAGGTGAATCTTTCATTGAGTGAAGGTCGACCAGGAGCTAATCTCTTTCAGAGACATTGAAACAGTTTATGAAGGCTCGATTCATACGATTACGATTACAAAAGGTTTCGGTTCCATGGGATGAGAAGAATTTGTTTTCATATTCAGATCGATTCAATTTAACATCGGCTAATCAGGTAAGAGCTTTGTGTCTACAATACTTTAGATTCTAATGATTTTATGATTTGATTTTCTATTGATTCTCAGCTTTATTATACTTTACAAAATATTGAGATTATTGGTCAATGTATTTGTAATGGTCACGCAAGAGCTTGTCCAGTGGATCGAGCAACTTTACTTCGTAAATGTGATTGTCTTCATAATACTTGTGGCGATAATTGTGAAAAGTGTTGTCCATTATTCAATCAACGACCATATCGTCAGGCAACCAAACGAAATATCGCAATTTGTGAAGGTAAGAAAAGAAAAGAAGGAAGAAGAGAGAAGAGAGAAGAGCGAAAAAAAGAAAAGAAAGAAAAAGAGAAAACAATCAACTAATTTCTAATTGTTTCTTCTCATGTTCCAAAAGCTTGTCAATGTCATGGACATTCAAGTGAATGTATTTACGATAAAAATGTCGATTCTCGTAATGGAAGTGTCAATGTTCATGGCCTTAGATCGGGCGGAGGTGTTTGTATAAATTGTCAATCTCATACAACGAAACAATTGTGATCAATGTGAAGATGGATATTTCCGTCCAGGTAAAGGATTGAGTTCCTCAAGTAGCTCGATTAATAATGAGACTGCCCCATGTCGACCATGTCAATGTCGAGGTCGAGGAACTACCGAATATTGTATAAAGGACAGTAGCCATGTTCTAACGGGACTGGAAGCGGGTGATTGCATTTGCAAGAAAGGATTCCAAGGTAAATACTGTGACTCTTGTGCTCCAGGTTATCGCAATTATCCAAGGTGTGACTCGTGTCATTGTAACGGAGCGGGAGTCGTAAACCCTGAGGCTTGTGATGGTCCAACGTGTGTATGCAAGGCCAATGTCGAAGGGAATCGATGTGACCGATGTAAAGCAGGTTACTTTGATCTATCGGCGGACAATCCCGATGGATGTGCCCCGTGTTTCTGTTTCGGTGCGACATCTTCGTGTAAATCCTCCGATTGGGGAGTTGAGGTGATCTCATCTCTCGCTCACCTGGAAGCTTGGAAAGTATCAGATTTCTCTGGCAAGAAAGTGGTCACTCCAACACGAAAATCTGAACACTTGGTGATCGCTGATGACGACATGCAGCCAATGTCTTCACCTTACTATTGGATGGCTCCTGATTCTTACCTTGGTGAGAAACTTTACTCTTACGGGGGTGACCTGAGGTTCATGATTGGATACACGGTGTTGAGAGGAGACACTTCCGGTTACTACACTGAAGATGCGGACATTATTCTGGACGGTGGACCGGAAAATGTGATGAGAATTGGTTACAACTGGAAGAGATATGACAAAAATGAGAACGAGGATAAAGTGACTTTGACTTTACCTTTGCGAGAAAACGGTTGGTACATTTTGGACGGTGATGGACGTCGAGTGAGACCAGTGTCTCGAGAAGAGTTCACTTTGGTTCTGTACAATTTACGGAACATGTTGATTCGAGCCAAGTTCCACACGGACCAGATCGAAGGGTCCATGTACAATGTCGAGATGGAACAAGCATCGAAAGACTCAAAGTCTCTGAACAAACAAACTGGAGCGGAGTCTTGTGATTGTCCCGAGGGTTACATGGGACTATCGTGTTTAGAGTGTGCACCAGGTTACCGAAGGGTGAACAATATTCTGGTCGGAGGTCGATGTGAGAAGTGCAATTGTAACAATCACGCGGAATCTTGTGACCCTTTCACCGGTGAATGTTCAGAGTGTCTACACAACACGGAAGGTACAGGTTGTTCCAAGTGTAAGAAAGGTTATTATGGTGATCCGACTCGTGGAACACCGGAAGACTGTAAGCCGTGTGCATGTCCATTGACCTTGAGTTCGAACAACTTTTCACCGACTTGTGTCCTCACGGAAAAAGGAGACGATTACATTTGCGACGCTTGTATCGAGCCTTATGCTGGAGACAAGTGTGAAATCTGTAAGCAGGGTTATTATGGTGATCCAAGTGTTCCTGGGGGAGTGTCTCCCCTGCGAGTGTGGTCCAAATGTGGACACTTCAGTGGTTGGAGGTTGTGATTCACGAACTGGACAATGTCGATGTGCGGCCAATACGACTGGATGGAAGTGCGATCAATGTTTACCTCATCATTGGGGTAATCCAAGTTTGGGTGATTGTAAACCTTGTAACTGTGATTTGTCAGGATCGAATGACCCTCAATGTGACCCAAAGACTGGTCAGTGTTCATGTAAGCCCAATTTCACTGGTCGATTGTGTGATCGATGTGCTGTTGGTCATGGGAATCCTGAATTGGGATGTCCAGCATGTAATTGTAATGGAATTGGTTCATCTTCGTCTGATTGTGATCCAATTACTGGTCAGTGTCATTGTAAACCAGGAATATTTGGTCAACACTGTTCCCATTGTCTCGAAGGTTATTATGGATTCTCAGTTCGAGGTTGTCTTCCTTGTGATTGTCATCCAAAAGGATCAGAAGGAAAAAGTTGTGATGAAATAAGTGGTCAATGTAAGTAAATGAAGAAAGAAAGAGAGAAAGAGAGAAAGAGAGAGAGAGAGAGAAATGATGATGATAATTTAATCTTTTCTCTTCTTGTCTTCTTATCTAAAGGTAAATGTAAACCATTCGTTGAAGGAAGAGCTTGTGATCGATGTCGATCTGGATTCTGGAATCTTGATTCAGGAAAAGGATGTTCACCTTGTGATTGTAATCCAATTGGATCAACATCATCAATTTGTGATCAATTAACTGGACAATGTGAATGTAAACCAGGAATCGGAGGTTCTAAATGTGACTCGTGTAAAAGTGGATTCTATGGATTCTCACCCAGTGGATGTCAAAAGTGTGACCAATGTTACGAAGCGAATCACATTTGTAACCCAGAAACGGGTCGATGTGAATGTCCTCCCAACACTGCGGGTCGAGATTGTCGTGATTGTGCTCCGGGTACTTATGGACTGGACATTGTCGAAGGTTGCAAAGCTTGTGAATGTGATATCCAAGGATCGGTTAATAACCAGTGTCACAATAAAACGGGAGAATGTGTTTGTTTAGAAGGATTCGAAGGCAAAGACTGTTCTAAATGTCGATTTGGATATTATCGATTTCAAATTGTCGTCGATGTGATTGTCATCCACCCGGAAGCTTAGATTCTTCTTGTAAACTTGACCTGAGATCGGTAATTGGACTAAGTGATCCAGAGACTATTTGTCAATGTGATGAGACTGGACAATGTTCGTGCAAAGGGAACACAATGGGACGACGATGTGATCGATGTAAAGACGCGACATTTTCTCTTTCGGCGATGAATCCACTTGGATGTTTCAGTTGCTTTTGTTTCGAGAAAACTTCTCGATGTGAACAATCATCATTAACTTGGACAACAATCACCAGCGCACCGAAAGAAGTGACCTTTGGAATAAGTGGACAATCAGCGGAATTAAAAATGGGCTATAATGTGATTCCTGATTCTTCAGATTCGAAACAAGTGATTGGAAGCAATTACATTTCTGATCAACCTTATTATTGGCAATTACCAAAAGAATTTATTGGAGATAAAGTTAATTCTTACAATGGTTTTCTCTCATTTCGAATTCAATCTCGTCAAGATTCTCGATTCCCTGATTCGGTTCTCAATCGTTATCCTTTATTCATCATTCAAGGAAACCAAAGACTCGTTTTACACCATTTCGATAAAGAATCGTCTTTATCTCTATCAGCATCATCTTCTTCATCTTCTTCATCTTCTTCGACATCTTATTTGGGTGAATTTTACAAGATTCAACTTCACGAATCGTCTTTTATTCTTGCCGAAAATCCAGGACTTGAAGTAACTCGAAAACATTTGATGATTGCTCTTCAAAAAGTTCAGAATATTCTGATTCGAGCTTCATCTGGACCCGATGTACAATCAGCCCGTTTAACCGACGTGACTCTTGATGTTGCTGAGGATCTGAGAGTTCTGAACTCGGTGCCAGTTAATTTCACCGCCATTGGAGTTGAACAATGTTTCTGTCCACCCCAATATCGAGGTGCATCTTGTCAAGATCCAAATATTGGTTATTATCGGAAAAGGAAACCCAATTATCTTGATTCCCGTGATTACATTGATCTAGTTGGGTGGGCAGAACCTTGTCCATGTAACAATCGATCTCGAAGTTGTGATCCAGAGACTGGACATTGTTACAATTGTACCGATAACACTGCAGGTCCTTTTTGTAATGTTTGTGCTTCCGGATACTTTGGTGATCCAACCCAAGGGATACCTTGTATTCCTTGTCAATGTCCACTTCCTGGTCACTCGTTTGCTGAGACCTGTGAATCTCGGCCTGGAGGTGATTACGTTTGTTCAGATTGTGCGACAGGTTATACTGGTTCTCGTTGTGAAAAGTGTGATGTCGGATATTATGGTGATCCAATGGCTCGGGAGTTTTGTCTTCCATGTTCATGTTCACCTTATGGATCATTTGGATCAAGTTGTGACCCTCGAACTGGTCAGTGTGCTTGCAAAGAGGGTTTTCGAGGTCGCGATTGTTCAATTTGTTTACCTCGTCATGTGCAAACTGAATCGGGTTGTCTTGATTGCGATGGTCCATGTACTGGATTATTGCTCGATGATTTGGACTCAATTAACGCGACATTGGCCGAATTACCAACCACCGATTGGGGAAATTTACCTTACACTAAATTCTTGCATTTATTGTCCAAGTACAAACATTTTCTCAACACTTTGCAACGACAATCGATCCTAATCGACGAAGGTAAAGGAATCCTTTATAATGTGACTTCCAATTTCGACCTGGAAACATTGGTCGATATGCTTTATATTCGAACAGTGAGTTTGGAAGCGAAATTACCGATGATTGTGGAAGAGACCAAATTGATTGGTGACGATGCTGAAAATCTTCTCGATTATATAAATGATCTACTTTATGATTTGAGACGAATTATTGATGCTCTTCGAAAATTTGGAATGGACGATGGAAAAGGAGGATTCTCTTTGGAACGACATCTTTTCCGTGCTGAACAAATTATCGCCGAATTGAATTTGAAAAACTATCGACCTCGACTCGATGAAGCCTCAAGAGAGAATCGATTGTCAAAGACTTTACTTGAAAAGATAATTGGTCTTCTTAGATCACCGAATGTTGATCGAGATTTCCGAAAGAGATTAGATCGATTGCAGCAAAGATTATCAGAGATTTTCAACATTGTTCAAACTCGAGTACAAAGACCAGTCCAGTTAACATTGAATCGAATCAACGAAGGACAAAGAATTCGTGATCGAGTGATTGAAGTTCTAAGGATCAGTTCTGGTCATGCATCTCAAGCCAATTCCAGTTTGATTGAAGCTGCTCGACTAATTAATGCCGCTCGTGGAATGTTGATCGATGTGACTGTACGACATGGACTAGTTCCTGGTTTAGAACGGGATCTAAGAAATGCCACATTGGCTTTGGAACACTTGAGGTCAACTTTGTCGAGATTGAACCCGAATATACTGTCAAATATGTGGAACCATGTCAACGACATTCATTGGAATTGATGAAACAATTGGAATATTTGAAAGGTCTTTTCGCCGACACAGAAAACTTTTCCAAATACGCTCTCGAAGCGGCTGGAGTCTATGAGCGAATTGTTGTTGCATTAGCTCGAGCCGAAGAATCAGCTAAACGAGCATACGAAGCAGCTGAACGCGCTTATCATGAGGCTTATCCAGGATCGACGATTCGTTGACTAAACAAGCACAGAAAGCGAGAGATCGAAGCATCGAATTACTTGAAGCAGCTCGAGATCTTCGACAACCGAATTCTAGATTACAAAGTGACCTTTCATCGAAACAATTGATACTTGGTAATCTAGCTAAAGATTTGTTATCATATCGACGAGCATTAGAACTAATTAATCGGGCACTTGATGAATTACCTCAAGATTTGCGAGAAAGAATCAAACAAATTGATCATACGTTGAGTTTCCTTCTCGAAGGACTTGGACATGTTCATTTAAGAATAGATGGAATAGAAAAGAAGATAATTGATGATCTTACTCCTCGAATCGAACGACTTAATGAAGGAACAGCTTCTGGAATCGAGAATTTCACTCGATTGTTGATAAATCTCGAGCTGATATTCGAGAATCAAGTCGATTTATGGTGAACTCGGAAAATCTTAAAAGACGATTGGATGGATTAAGAACTCGATTCGAACTTGATCTTACCGATTTGAAACATCGCATCCTTTTGTCTCGTCAAAAAGCATCTTCGATAAGAGTCTCACTAGGAGCAGAAAGAGATGATTTGTGTGAAATCTTATCGATCACCAACTCAACCATCGGCCACGAACACAATTAGTCTTAACTACGCAATCAAAGAAGATGTTCCTAATTCGTTGATTTTGTTCATCATCGAATACAAACTCTGATTTCATGGCATTGGAAATGATCAATAGACGAATTCGGTTTACATGGAATACAGGAAGTGGATCTAAATCATTGGAACATCCGACAATCATTGAATCCAATGACGGGAACTTGTTACGATCTCGACACTGGTACAAGATTGAAATGAACCGAGTCAACAATTTAGTGACTTTAAGTGTCCAACCATCAACAGAAGCACATAAAGGAGACACTCATGAAGTAACGGGATCATCTGACCCTAAATCATGTAAAATGGACTTGGATGGGAACGCGAACCTGTTTATCGGCGGTCTACCGGATAACTTTGAAGCTCCGACCATAATGAAGACCCGACGATTCACCGGCTGTTTGTACGAAGTTTATCTAGATGATCAACGAATTGGCCTTTGGAACTTTAAAACCTCACAAGGATGTCGAGGTTGCATGGAAGGTGTGACCGAACTCATTGATCCAGGAACATTCCAGTTCAAAGGTGAAGGTTCTTATGCTACAATGGATCAGGTAAGTGATCAGCTGATTGAGATGCGAATCAATTTCTACTATTCATAAGTATTAATAATAATGATAATATTGATTCTCACTTTAGATCCAAAGATATGACAGAGAAAAGTATATCGTCGCTCTGCAATTCAGATCATTTGATGAAGACGCGATCATCTTTTTCTCGGGCAACCCAGACACTGGAGATTTCGTGTCCATTTCCCTTCAAGACGGGCGAGTATTGTACCAATTTAATCTTGGATCTGGATCACGATTACAATTAAGATCTCGGGAGAGATACAATAATGGACAGTGGGTTCGATTGGCTGCTGAAAGAGATCGATGGTTGGGAGTTTTATCGGTAGAAGATGAAGTTCTTGAAGGAAGTGCTCCTCAAGGTCAAAGTCAATTGGATCTCAATCATGTCCCAATTTACTTTGGTGGAGTGACCCCTAATTTCACTCAAGATCTTTGGACACTCAATACATTCAAACACTTCCTGGGATGTATGAAAGATGTTCAGATCGATACAACTCCATTGAATTTACTGAGCATTGAGAATTACGGTGTAATTCCGGGTTGTAGAGATCGAACCTCTCGAATTGTCAAGTTCACAGGTCAAGGTTACTTGGAATTGAATAGTCGACCTCTTGGAGAAGAGAGCGACTTTAGTTTCACCTTTAAAACAAACCAATCGGAAACTCTACTGATTATGTCCACTTTCCAAGGGAAAACTAAAAAGGCTCGAGATTATGTAAGTATTAATTCAATGACTTTACTGTTACAATAAAATCTCAGCAATTTAATTGGAATTGGAATAACAATTGTCTTCCATAAATTAGCACTACTATTCAGTGGCAGTGATCGGAGGTCTTCTTGAGGCTCGTTTCAATGGAGGTTCGGGTGAAACTTTACTTATATCAGAGGTCCGAGTGAACGATGGTGCTTTCCATACAGTCACCATATCGAAAAGAAATCGAAAGTAATTAAAATTTAACAATTGATTAACAATTAATTAGATGATTTGGTAGAAAAGAAAGAAAATAATTTAACATTTGATTGTCTCTTTTTCGTAAGAATCTCTTTGAATATGGATGATCATGAAGTGGCTGTATCTCGATTGGCCAAGGGAACCAATTCCATTGAAGGTCCAGCTAATGGTGGACTTTATCTCGGTGGACTTTCGGAAGGAATGACACTTCGAGGAATGGCTGGAACAAAGGAACGATTAATTGGTGTGATTCGTGATTTTGTCTTTAATGGAGCGATTGTTAAAATGAACGAACCAACAAATTTCAAAGGAATTGGTATTGGACGAGGTCAATAACCAATCAATATAATCAAATTAGTTAATTTTCATATATAAATAATACAAATGTTTACCTTTTTTTACATTTCTAATCAAACAAAATAATTCAACATTTACATTAAACTTGAGATATTGATGTAAATCCAATGGTCTAGAATCTATTCCGATGAACAAAACTTTCCCAAATTGAATTTTGTTCAGTAGATTCATCTTTTTATCGATGATCCATAATCATGATCACCTTTGGAAAATGCTTTATCCACTTTTAACAAGAGATTAATTAATCCATTATAAACTCTTGGCTGAGCGTTGAGACTGTTGATGTTTTTCAATTCGGGATCCAGAACATTACACAGGAAAGACGGAGGTCGTTTCCAGAGAAAGATGAAAAAGAATAGAGCAATTAACGGAATTGTGAGAGTAACAGCAGCAATTAAGAGTAAAATGGGCATCAGGTAACTGAATGTTTTGGAAACATCTTCATCTTTAAAAGGGTGATGAGGATAACCACCCCAATCTGATTTGAATTATCTTGTTCGTCTTCTGATTCATCTGAATCATTTCTGATCGTATAGGTAGGGGCAAACCATCCACCCTTAGCAAAAAGGCACTTTGTCCCTTAGCCCTTTCAAAAAAGGATTCAAAGGCTGACTTCATCTCATTTATATTGGAAAATTTCTGGCCTCGGGTGAATCTTTTTGAGTTTGCGAATGCAAAGTCATCGCTTGGGGTCAGGAGAATAGGGCAGTGAATAGTGAGTGTAACCCAACCTTCTTCAAATGAAAACTTGGTTTCTTCATTTGGTGGTTTGGTTTCTTCAAATGAAAACTAGAAGCGAATTTTTATTTTTGGTTTCTTCAATTGAAAAAAAGGTTTTCTCATTTGAAAGTTTGGTTTCTTCAATCGGGAAACACTGTATTTATCGATACCGATAATATCGCCAATCACTATTATGATTCCAGCATTGTGGAAATAATTTTATTAGCGTTTTGAAAAAATTTTCCAGCGAAAATGTCAAAGTTTGGTATTAACTACAGAATTTTTTGGATAGAATATATGATTTCAAACAAAATAAATGTGAAAGCAGTTCTGAGAGACTAACCGGAAGAATTGAGAAGCGCGATTTACCCCAGGAAACGACCATAAAAATTTTTTTTGTATTTTTAGGTTTTTTTGTTCTTTTTCTAAATCTGTACATTTTCGGGTGTTTTGAAAAATGAAGAAGAACCGGATCGGTTGCAGATGAAATAGAGTCTATGAAACTGCAACAAAATCCTGATAATATTTCTACTTTCTCGCCATTTTTTTCTTAGTAAATGTCTACGATTAAAAACGAACACGCGTTTCTTTCAGAGCTGCTTATGCACGCGATATTACTGAAGTTGGATCCGGAACTTGGATTGGCATTCTTTGTTAACCAGTATCAGACAGGTAGACCGAGACGAACCTGACTGTGAATGCGACTTTGAGAAACATTTTTTTATTTTAGTAGTGAATAACTGCTCACTTACGTGAGCTAAAGTCCAGCAGTTTCAAGGGTTTGAATAATATTAAAAAAATTACGAAATTTAATATTTCCAAATTAGACCCTGAAGGGTTTTGCATTAAATGTGCATTTAGAAAAATTGATAAAACAATCATTTTTTCTTTGTTATTTATAATAATATTAATAGTTAACTAATTAATTGAGCAACATTTTGGGTTTTTTTGTAATTGGTTTTTCCCTGATTAATTATGTTTTTTCCACAGGAATGAGTACAAATGTACTTGATTTTTTTTAATGAATTAATTTAATAATAACTATTTTCTTTTCGGAAAAAATAAGTATATGAATGCTAAAATTCAATTGGATTAATCATTCAATGTTCATCATCTGAAATGTCAACAATAATCAACTGATTGAATTTGAAAGTTTTGTTTTCATTCAGTTATTGAAACAATTGTATCGATACTTTCATAATTTTCATCAAGTTAATAAACATTAATCTTAAAACATCAATTGATCATTGATCTAATAACTCACAGTCATCAGAATTCATTGTTGATAGTTTGACATCTAATCAACTGAGTCCTCATCAATCGAATTTCCCGAATTTCAACCGAAATTGAATTTTAATGCCTATTGCCTTGGTCGCGAAAGAACTTTTGATGAAAATAACTTTGAACTTGATTTGTCTCGGAGCCGGTGAGAAACAGATCTAGCTGTATTTTGATTTGTATTCGGAAACCTAGCTGTTGATTAGAAATGAATAATGAATAATAAATGAATAGAAATGATTCACCAATATCTTTACTACCTTTTCTTTTCTTTTCTTTTCTTTTCTTTTCTTTTCTTTTCTTTTCTTTTCTTTTCTTTTTCCTTTTTCTTCAATTTTATACATATTGATATAATCAATTAATAATTTTTCAATGCAATAAATAATTAATTGCATCTGAGGTAAGATCAATATTATCACTTTAACTGTTTGATTTTTAATTGATGTCAAATGTTATCCTGTTTACACCTTTCAATCTCCATTCTTTATATTCAACAAGTTCTTTAGTAACAAGTGTCAAGAGTTGAAGTCTAAAGGTTGGACCCAAGCAAAGCGAAAGTCAATGTTCAACACTCTTCTGGTTTTCTGCTCAATTCGCCACTTACAACGATCTCTTGAAGCCTTATGATCAAATCATGGGCCTTGAACTCACTGAAGGTGGACAGTAAGTTTTATATCGCTCTCTTGAAATAGTTGAGGTTTACAGTGATCATAAATATCCTCTCCATCAGTAGTAATTGTGATGTGTCGTGAACAATGTACCTTCAACCGGTGTACACCGTGTCTCTTAATTGACGAACAACTTTAAATTTTAATAACTTTTGATTGTGTAGGAATTTTTTAATGAAATTTTTTTTCGACAATATTGTTTTTAAAGGAAATAAATTAACAATGTTTTCAAAGTGATTACCTCGGGAGGTCACACAGTAACGCATTCTAGCCTCAAAGTACGAAGTGACCTTTTGGAGAATATCATGTTCTATGGTTTTTACCTTTTGGATAATTGCTTCTTTTAGCTCATTGATAGTTTTAGGAGCCTTTTGTAAATTTTGTCCTTGAGATAGCCCCAAAGAAAAAAGTCACAAGGATTACAGTCTGGTGAGTAGGGTGGCCAATTTAAACCAGATCCTTTTGCGTTAGGATAGCCAAGGGCTATTACACGATCATCAAAGTGTCTTTCAAGTGTATCAAAAACTGCCGATGTCCTATGGGGTGGAGCTCCGTCTTGCATGAAATGATAATCATCAACCATATTCTCTGCATAGATTTCTGGGAGGAACTGGTTGTTCAGCATATCCAGATAGCTATTAGAGTCAACAGTTGAGTCAAAAAAGTAAGGTCCCATGATGCACTCGGCTGATATTGCGCACCAGACGGTAAGTTTAGCGGGATGAAGCGGTTTTGTCTGAACTAGCTCCGGTTTTTCAGTGCCCCAAACACGGTAATTTTGCCGATTAACGTATCCTGATAACCAAAAATGTGCCTCGTCCGTAAACCATATGTTTTTTAGGTCGAAACCTTGCTCATCAACTTTTGTTAGAATCTGGTTCGCAAAGTCTAACCTTGCATCTGGAGCATTGTCTGGAAGATGCTGGAACATTTGTAGCTTGTACGGAAAGAGATTCAGGTCCTGGGTAACGATCCTATGAGCAGTTGCTCTTGAAACACCAAGTTGTGGCCCAAACGACCTGATGGATGTTGTTGGTTCATCTTCCATGATCTGTTTTGCAGCCTGAATTTTCTCAGGAGTTCTCTGCGAAACTTTATGACCAACATTTCCAACCAAATTATCAGCTACACTACCTGTTCTTTCGAATTTTTCAATTAAGTCATATACTGTAGCTCTAGAGGGTTTATCCATATTTTTTAATTCACTAGACCACTTCCGGAGCAAATCAGTGGGTGAGCCATTAACTTGGTACCAAGTTTTACAATAAAAACACGTTGTTCGGTACTATATTTACCCATATTGTAAAAAAATGAACAAAATCTTTTTCTTTCAAATGCACTTAAAAATAGTCTTAGTCTTTAGTCTTAAAATAGTCACCCAAACAACTTCCTATGGTCTGAAATGATAGCACGAAAATTGCAAGTCATTTGAGTAAGGGACCGTCTAGTAATTACAATCTAAAGTTGTCGGTTGTTTAAGAGACACGGTGTATAAATGCACCGATTATGTGTGATTCAATAGATTATTTTATTACAAAACTACGTGCAAAAGTAAATGCAATAGATTGTTTCATGACCTTGACATTATTGTGTGATCTTGACTCTATGTTCAACCAAATTTAGTACTTCTATATACAGTTGTTCATTAATTATAGTAAAAGATGAATAAAGTCTCATAAAGAACAAACTATAAGTACTCAATCGTGGTAGCTAGCGTTTTAATTTTTTTCATGATAATACTTCATACCATCAGTTATAACATATACAAAAATCGAGAGGTAAGAAGCATTAGTATGCATGTAGGAAAACTTCATTTTTACCCATAGAGCTCTATGGCAAAATCCAACTTTGAAGCCCTGTATCTCAGGAACTAGATCTTTCCGCATTTACAAACTCGTACATAATATGTAGTTTGACATGAGCTATATTGTGAGGGGATAAAAGTCAAGTCATTAACACACACAAAGGTATCATAACCTCCCTTCTCACCCCAATGTTATTATTTTTGTTTGGAAGTTTTTCCTCCCAAAAACCTATTAATTTTGATTATCATTGACAAGAGAGGAGAAGCAAATGTATGTATCTTTACTCCTCCTCTCTCCAGGGAAATTAACTTCTTTATGACTTTACCATTTCTACATTAAGCAGGAAAACTAAATTACTTTTAGGAGGAGAAAGCATTAGAAAGGTGGACATTATAAATGACCATCTCTAGGAAAAGCAGGAAAAGTTTAAGATAGCATCCAATTAACTTTGGGGCCATAAGAAAGAGACTCTTTCTTTCTCTTTGTCTTAGTGGTCTTTTGTCGTGTTCTTTGCCTTGTGTTGCAACATCAACACTTTGTTGTTTTTCTTTCTCTCTCTCTCTACTCTTCTCTTAAGTTTTTTTAAGAAGGTTTATTTAAATATTTTAAATAAATAGTGTTCGCCACCACCTCCAATCTTGTGTCTCCCCAGTTTCGCCGTTACCACCACCGCTGTGTTCACCAGAACCTCCCTCTCAGACTGACCCGTACCAGAACCATCTTCAAGGTAAGCCTTAGGCTTTTGAGTGTTTTTCTTTTATTCTTTTTGTACCAATTGATCCTTCACCTTATCCATAACCTTTGCATGCTATGATCCTTCACCTTATCCATAACCTTTGCATGCTATGTATTTGTATTATTGATCCATTACCTTAAGTCAACCTGGTCAAATTAGTTTCAGACTTTCACCTTCGATCCTTTATCTTGACCATAACCGTTTATCAACTCCTTATCTATCACTATTCGAACCTTTACCATTAGTGACACCTTCATTGGAAATCTATTGGGTCCTTAACCATATTAGTATACCTTTTACCTTTTATTCATAATCATATCTCATCATAACCAGTAACCTTAACCTACGATTCTTCAGCATAAGAAATCGCTTTTGGACTAAATATTTTACTTCTCATCACCAGTCGTAACCTCTATTACGCTAAATAAATGTTTCATCGAGACAACATTTATCTTGAGAGTATTTTCTTTTCACGGTACTTTACCATCCTTTTTAATTATTATTACTCGCCAATTTATTGCACCGATTATAACACTATATTGAACAATCACTATACTAGACATAATAAAGCTTTTCATCGAAGGTCAAGAGTTATACGAATCATTATCGCTACTAGAATTATCGAAATCTTTTGCTAAGGTCAACGTAAGTACCATCACAACTATAGACAGCTTTAGGTTCAAGGCGAAATAAACTGTATCGAATTGATCTAAGTTTCAAAACTCGAATGTCCATAGGCAAACACCTAAGAGAGTAAACAGCGGTAGTAGTCCAGATTCAAGGAGCCATACAGGAAATAATTGATCTACTGATTTTGCATCACTTATCATTAACTGGACCAGAAGACTGGTTTCTGGAACTAATACTGGACGACGAATTAGCTGATCTGGAACTTAGTGATGAGGTTTAGTAATCAACAAATAGAGTTTATGCAACAACTTATATTTTCAGGTTTGACTTTCAACGAATTGATAAATTTATACATCATCACCCATGAGCGTTTAGATACAGGAGAAAACCCTATTCTACATGACGATACACCTTCCACAAGTCGAGATATTGTTTTAAATCTTTCTACACCGAACGAAGAGCAAAGGAAATCATCTAAATCAAATTTATCTCCTCACAATATGTACAAAAAGTTTCAGGTCTCTAAAAGTGCGGACCTAATCCGAAGTCTTACCAAAAAGTCTAATACGATTACCTTTTCAACCTGTTGATAGAAAATCTTTAGTTTTCGTTTCTAACAATTTGTTTTCTTTTCCGTTTCAGTCTCATCTATAGCTACATAAACGACCAGGGAAGAGTATCGGCAACTTCCTTTTTCTTTGAATCGGTGCCCCATCAACTGTATTTCAGTTTTATTTTTCTTATCTTCTTTTCTTCTTTCTCTTATTTTCTTAATTAATAAAATACATTACAGTCATACCTCTCTTAATCTTTATTTTAAGCTTTGACAGCGACCTCAGGGGAGGCTCGATGAATTAGAATTCATCGTTTCCGGTTAATGACGACCGAACCAGGGAAAGGGGAAAAAGGGACAAGGAAGGGAATAATTGATGAGGAAAAGAAAACAATACAATAATTAACAATTTTTCTCCCCTGAGGTCGAATACAAATTTGAGATAAAATTTAAAAATACAATTTAGTCACAATGGACAAAATGTCCTTTCAAAACAAATGGACTAGAGTCCTTTCAACACAAATCCCATTAGGGCTTTTATAAATATTATTAATTGAGTGGTTAGTTTGATTGTCCAAAGTCCAAAAACGGTTAACTCATTAAGTATGAAACGAAAAAATAAAAGACATAAACAAATAAAATTAGGAAAATTGAATCAGATTATCAACAAAACTTACCAAGAAAACGGAAATGGTTCAAGTTATTACGACTCAATAATAGCTCAGTTTTTAGAGTAACAAAAATAACTAAAGTAACTGTTGAATTATCATAACTTTGGTATCAACTTAATCCGTATGATAAGATAAATAATAATAACATAAAATTCAATTTTAAATTCACAGGGAAAGGTGATTAAATTAAAGTTTATCAGGAGCCTAAAAATTCATAAGTTCTTAAGTTGTAACTCTCTTAAATTAAAAAACAGAGCCATCTCTAAGCGAAAGGTGAGCAACTCGTAGCATAAATAGAATTAAATTAAAAATTTTAATTCTAAATTTGACTGCTGCAACCTAGCGAATTTGTGAATCGTCCTTATAACTGAAGAGAGGTATGACTGTATTAATTTTTAAAAAGTTCGGCTCATTATTTTCGATGTGTTTCGATTCATTATGTCTATTACTGCCTATTAATTGAAGATTCACATTAGAGATTAAACTCATAAGTCACTTGGAAATCAATTATCATGATCAACAATAATCTGCTTCTATCAATACGAAGAAGGAAAAAATGAGTGCAGAGTTTTTCTCACGACTTTATTTGCAACTTTTTCAGTTACAAGATTTCAAATCAGACTCAATTTCTAGACAATTTCACTAATTTGTCACTATTTTCTTAAGAAAAATACCAGAAAGAAAAGGAAGTCCAAGCAAAAAGAATCAATTGAAAATTATAGCATTTTTAGTTTCCGAGGAAATGAATCCGATTGATGAAAACTGAGCGAAATGCAGTTGAGAATGGTAATAAAAAATCTAAGTCTAATTGAAATAATTTACTCTGCGATTCGTTTGTTGAACATTTTCTATTCATAACACTAATAAATCATCGACTGTCATCAACAATAAAGAAGATCAACAAGAAGAAGGAAGAGAGCGAAAGTAGTATTTCTCACCCCCTTACTGTGCCAGAGTATTATGGTTTGCCCCTACTCTCATTTTCCAGGGCTACAAAATGTGGAGAATAACTTTATCTCCTTCAGATTACCATGAAATGCTTTCTTTCAATAATGACCCTGATCTTTTGATATGACAAATGCGTATCGCTCAAACTCATACCACTCAACTCTCGTGTCTCTTTGACTCTTAGTTGCTGAGAAAATCGCAAAAACATCGGTAAAAATTATAGATAGTAGTAATAAAACTGCCCGGTCTGGGACAAAAAGAGCGCGAAAATCACCAGACTGAAACCAATTAAATATGACACTAGAATAATTGACAGTTAAATCACTTTTAATTAGAATCTAAATATAAATGGTATAAAACAGAATGATTACAACAATTAATTAGATGAAATCAGAAGTAAAAAATTGATTTTTTAGTTGAAAAAATGTAGTTAGATACTTAATCAATGAAATGTGTCCGGACAGCCCTAATTATTGGACACCTACATAAAGGACATCTAACTAAAGAAATAGCACATTCAAAACATGCAACAGCATGGTCACAGGGGGAGAATACGAGACCAACCTCATTATCAAGACATACTGCACATGTATATCTCGATAAATCTGATGAAGGTCTTGGTGGTGGATTCAATGGTCTTGAAGACATAAACTTTGCCTGGCTTCGATATATTGATTCCCTCTCATTAGATAAATATAGGCACATAGTGGTGATCCATTAACATGCTCTATCCATGGGTCATCATCAGCATCCCAATTAGAAATACAGTGGCCACAATGAAAACAAATAGTAACATCAGTATACCCTATTGTTTATTCAAAGAAAAAAAATAGAATTTAGGTTCTTATAGAATATCTTAAAAGTAAAATAGAAAATTACCATTGTGGATGAAACCAGCTTCAGCCATTCTCGAAGGTACTATTGGATGACCTAGCGGCCACATAGTGAATGTTTCGAGACGAGCATCAAAAGATGAATAATTGATAAACAATGGTCTAAACACTCGTCTATATCGTCTGATGGTTTCTGCTTCTCGAAAGTTTTGTGCTCTTTGCTGACTAATATTTTCATCAGCTGTTGTCTCATTTATTAGAAGAAGGTTATCAACACCTTCAATATGATCGACAACATTTTGCCAATTTCTTTCAAATCTTCTTGAATGTTCCCTATGTCGTCGTCTTCTCGGAGGAAGTGGAGGAGATGAATGAGATGGAGATTGAACAGTTGGTGTTGGTTCATTATCTGGAATTTCCCAAATTTCTACATATTCATTTTCTCCCCTGGCTGTCAAATGACCAGGGTTTACTGCAACAATTGATGGACAAGCAGGATTAACTAGATTATGTGTTCTAATTGGATCGTTGTCATTGCTTAAATTTGTCACCATGTAACCACAAAAAACACATTCAATATAATCACCTTCACCTAAATATAGAAATCCCCTTGAACCCAATAATTCTGGAGTTAGATGTGGATAATTCCAATTTCTATGTCTATAAGTATCTATTCTAAACATTATTGCTCTCATGCTATAATGTCCTGAAGGTGGAATTGTTGGTGAACTTGCTGTATAACTAGATGAAGAGTTCTCCAAGACACCATTCACTTGTCCCATTTCCAGCTCACTCATAGTTGAAATTCAGTTTCAATTGAGTTTCGATACAAAAACCACAATTTCAACTGATTTTCAGTTTGAATTCAAATATAAAACTGACATTCTATCTTTGAAAATTTTTTCTTTTAAAGAGAAAGTCAGAGGAGGAGTCTGACTATTATGTATTCCTTAGTTGGTGAGTAAAGATGATAAAAATTGTTAACATTGTAACATTGTGGGAAACTGGCTTCAAACTAAATGTTAAGTTTAAAGCAAGAAAATCGGAGAAAAAATTCAATGCAAATGTAATCAAGTCTAAAGATGGTTGTTTACTAGTTTTTGCTTCAGGCAAAATAATTGCTACCGGGTTTAAAAGTATGAAACAAACCTTGTTGTTCTTCAGAAAAAGATTTAAATCTTTCTTGCCTAAATTTGTAAAAGTTGTGAATATAACTGCTAAAACTAAATTACCTTTCAAAGTCAATTTTTCGCTGCTAGCTCAAAATCTACAAAACATTGAATATGAACCAGAAATTTATTCTTGTTTCTACTGGAGAAAAATAAACATGTATAATGACATATGGAACAGGTTCAATGATACTCACTGGTCCTGTTAGCGTATGTGAAATGAAGGAATTGCTTTTAGTTTTCCTCGGGCAATGTAAAGATTTCCAAACTACAGCCAATTGAAGAGGAAGATGAGGAGGAGGAGTTTCATTTGTATATAAACATTTGATCAAATTGTTTGTGAATCAATTGTAAGTCAAGTTTGAATACTAATAGTTAAAAATTTCAATCTCTTTCTAAAATTCTGAATTATGTCTGTAGTTTGTGTTCAACCTAATAAGCTAAGTTGGTCATCACACTTATTTATTCATATTAATAAATTTCATTTGTGTCTATCATTTGGAAAAGCTGATGATAATGAGGTGGTTTGTGTTAGATTCAATCTAAGATAATTTAATAACAATATACCCACGAAGAATGGAATTTGTTTAAGTCTATCTGAATTAGATGCTTTCAGCTATTATCTAAACGATATTAAAAATGGCTCGCAGACAAGTAAATTCATCTATAATTCGTTGACCAGTGGATTTGATGATTCTTCGTGTAAAGTTAATCTACAAAAAGGAAACATGAAAGTTGAATTTGATCAAGAAATGGTTGAACCTCTTATTGACGTTTTTCCGGCTTACAGCGCTTTTATGAAGCTTTCCAAAGACTCTGAAAAAGCCAAAAAGACTTCTTTGGTTTCTTTGTTGATATCTTCATATTTGTACGAATTTCTGGACAAGCTGCCCTCAATTCCGGAGGTTCTCTTACAAAGCCACAAGCAATCAATAAATTCAGGGAGAACTTGAACGAACATTATTCAGTTTTGTGTGAACAAATATTAATTCCTCTTGGATTAGGAGATATTTGTAAGTCCGAAGAAGAATTTTCTGCTCGTGTTAATGTTACTGCCATTAAACAAGCTAAGCTAAAAGTGGAATCGGGTGAAAAGAAATACATGTCTTTTGCTGTTTTCATATTGAAACAAACATATTGTAACTAAACTGGTTACAGAACCAGTTTCTTTGTTTAACCAGGTACCACCTCTCACGTGGTACCTGGTTATCCTTATTGGATAATTTTTGAAGAAGAAGATGAGGGTGAGGGAGAAGATATTCTCCCTCACCACCAATATAATGACTGATTTTTCGGCCATTTTGATATGGCAACCAGGGGTATAGTTACCCATAATACTAATAAATAAAAATTCTTTTTATTTAAGTGTTTGTTGCAATATGAATAGGTTCGATAAAATGACAACCACTGGAACCTGACCTTGACTCATACTTAATCTAAATCATTTAATATTTAATCCTTAGTTTATTGTATCTCTAGTTTATTCTAACCTAGTGTATTCAATTTGCGCAAATTTTTCAGTAGAAACTAAAATACTAACAAGCATTGAAAATAAATTTTGTCCTTCATTTTTCTAAAATTCTAAGATAAGAAACTGTGATCAACATTGGTGAGGAAAAACTCAAACATGGAACTTTACAATGTTTATCTTCATCACCCTTTTACTATGCTTGTATCTGTACCAACTGGATGTGGTAAAATCTTTTGGCTGAAAGAACTAATCAATAATTCATCGACTCTTTTTTTAAACTCTAGGATCCTTAAGTTTCTCAATACTATTTAATGGAATTATTGGCACAACATGCTTGAAAGAAAAGATGATCACAATTAGATAACACATATAACAATTAACTAAGTTTCAAGATATAATGCTTTTAGTTTTCACTATTAACTTACATGAAAGTTAGATGACATAATGCTGAAAGTGATGAAAGTGAAAGTAATAAAGATGATGGTGGTAAAGATAATATTGATTGTGATGATAGTGAGAAGAGTTTTTCACTGAGTTCACTAAACTTGATTCACAAATTGATTGGTATAATTAAACCATAAAACGATAAAGATAAAGTGTAAATACAGATAAAGTAAAATCTAATCCTAGCAAAATGAAAAGCACATTGAAAAAAGAGTTCACATACTTGAACTGCAAATGTTCATTGGTTTTTCGCAACAACAATTTTTAACTGATAATAGGTTTTAGTGAAAACTGCTGACCATACGAAATAACAATTTCTTTGGAGAAACGATTGAGACAGAAATTTTCTTTGTTATTGTATGCAAGATTGGCTGTATGTAAATTTGAAATTCGATAATCTAGGATTACATCTAGTTTGAATTAATCAAAATGAATAATAATTGCAATACTATTTCATTGGTTCCAAAGTTCATGAATTCAGCTTGAATCTAATCATGAGATATCATCTTGAAACTTATTCATTTACTATCTCTCATCCTCTGAATCCCATGAATGGTCTTATCTTTTCTTAAATCTCAATGGTTCCAATGTTCATGAATTCAGCTTGAAACTTATTCATTTACTATCTCTCATCCTCTTAATCCAATGAATGGTCTTATCTTTTCTTAAATCTCAATGGTTCCAATGTTCATGAATTCAGCTTGAAACTTATTCATTTACTATCTCTCATCCTCTTAATCCAATGAATGGTCTTATCTTTTCTTAAATCTCAATGGTTCCAAAGCCATCACATGTATTTCAATATTGTTAATACAATATCAGTATTAATCTTTACTTCATCTCAAATAGCATGCAAAATTATAGAATCACAATTCACTTATGAACATTATACACATCTTTGTTAATGACGATGACTTGGAAAAATATATCTATGATTGCTACATTGGTTGTGTATTGATTTTTGTTGAAAACCAATGACATAAATGTCTTTTTGTTAATTAACACGAAAACATTATACTTTAGAAAATCTCTGGAATAAACAGCTAATGACCATTTTCTAATCATTAGTTTCAACAAAAGAGAATAATCAAACAGGATGTTGAGAAAAAAAGTTTAACACTTCATTGTTATGTCTTTTGTCTTTTGACAGTTTCTGCAATTCATCAATGACATCTGTTCAGTTAATGTTTTCTTAAGAAAAACTGTTTTGAAGAAAAAAGATGATCTTAGAGTCAATTGTAATTTAGTTTCAGTTAGAATCACTTTCTTGAGTTAGAATCACTTTCTTGAGTTAGAATTATCATCATCATCATCACATTCAATTCATTTTATTCATTCAATTCTAATAATTTAATTGTGATAAAAATGGTTATTAAAAACAACAGGTAAGCTATTGGTGCTATCAGGTGTCGATTGAAGTTTCCTTGTGATAATCTTTCTATTCTTCTATTCTCCAGGTTTGCATTTGGAGCGAGACCGCTGAATCGAAAACCACGTCTTATCATTGCTTCTCTCTTATCAAACTCACCTGGCAAGAATATTCTCTCTAAAGAGGAAATTGAAACCCTGAAGTGCATATTAATTCAGTGTCATGATGTTCTTGTTATCAAAAAATCAAAAATATCAGTTGGGATCAATACCATTACCCTCCAGTGATTTGTGTTTTTGTGTACAACCATCAATTAAAAATTAATCATTTGTGATTAATAGTTCAAATAAATCAATTTAATTGTCCATTAATTATTCCCGGTCTGGTGATTTTCGCGCTCTTTTTGTCCCAGACCGGGCAGTTTTATTACTACTACTCAATAATGACCTTGATCTTTTGACTTGACAAATGCGTATCGCTCAAACTCATACCACTCAAGTCTCGTGTCTCTTTGACTCTTAGTTGCTGAGAAAATCGCAAAAACATCGGTAAAAATAATCGATGAATAGCCCTGTATATTGTAACATATTTTCAAGGAGAAAAACTCATCCCCCTGTGTTTTACTTTCTACACCCTGTAGTGTACTTAATGGTGTGAATTGCAAAATTTTAGGCACAATTCATGATTTTTAGTTAAATTCTATTCTATTTTTAATTCGATGAGCTCAATGCTCCTGGTCCCATGGCAGTAAAGTTTCAGAGATTAACCACTAACATGGAACGATTTTCAACTTGGACCCCAGAACAACAAGATGTAGGCAGGGTCATGATAAATAGCCAACTTCTACATTTAACACGGGAATGTGTTAGGATCAGGTCACTCAACAATCCAATGGACCAATTGTTGGAACAGGTTACACAAATGGACACATTTTTAAATGAAGAAGCTCAAAAAAATGAGGCTCTTCATAGAGAAAATGAGCAATTAAGAGCAGTGTTGCAATTAAAGGAAGGGTCTGAGGGAGATAAAGACATTTCTTTCCTCACTTGGGTGATGGAAAAGATGAAGAAAGAATTTTCTGTTAACACACAAAAGTACAAAGAAAACCCTCGTGGGCTTTAAACACATTGGTTTTCATTTTAATATTCATTAAAATCCATTCATTTCGTTAAATAAAACTTTTTAAAAAATTTAAATTTCGCGCGCAAAAATTTCACAGAAAAAAATCCAATAAAAAATTTCACCATGAAACTGATCTGGAGTGTTAATCTGTTCCAGAGTTTCATGTGCTGGAGTGTTAGTTTTGTGCTGGAAGAGGACTTTACTTAACTACTCATTTGCCATGGAAAGAATCTATCCTGAAGCTATCTAGCATAAATAGTGTTCAGTGAATAGTGTTCAGTGAATAGTGTTCACTAATTATCAGAAGTAGCCCAATCTCCACCAAAAAGTATGCAGCCTCTAAGAACTATCTGTTTCCATCCCGAAAATTTCAATCAACTTCAAAGTTATGGTCTACGTATCATCTCATATCTTTAGTCATTTCTTCTCATCATTATTCTGCACGCAATTGACGTAACTAATTAAATTTTTCGATTAAAATATCGAATAACTAATCAATAGCAATCATCTTCATTAATCTCTGAAATTATTTTCTGAATAGTGAAACTTCAGAAATTGTAATAGTCTCTTATCATAAGAATTAGAGATAACATATCTCAATAATAGGATAGCTTTCCGACAATATTCTACTAATTTTTAAGACTTTAAACCATCCTAAATGAGAAAATTAAAACACAGTGAAAGAGTTTATAGTTTTAAACATGGAACAGCCAACTTATTTGTTAATTATAATCCTTCAAAATCCCGTTCTATAATTTCTAATTTTATTGGAATACTTGATCGTTACTCCGAGCCAAATAATTTAGTTGAGTTGTTTAATAATCTTGAAAGGTTAAGTATCTCAGCTTGGATATGTGTTAATGGATACGAACAGAGTAATCTTCAAAATCGGAGTAAAATGTTGATAAACTTTTACTTGTGTCTATCTTGTTACCTGATGTCATTGAGATACCTGATTCTAGCATTTATCACTGATGAAACCATAAGAATAATTTTGTGTGATACGTTTATTGGATATTCAGCTCATTCCCTGCTCAATGTTATCTTTTTTGGTGCAACTTTCCTGTTGTCAAGCATTAAAACTGCTTTAGCATATTCAGAGTTTATTTCTCAGATGAAAATACTAAAAGTATTTAGTCAATTGAGAAAATGCTCTTTCAAAAGATCAATTTATGGACTAACCAGAAAGAATGACCTTAAGTTTCGTAGAGTAACATGTCTTGCTGGTCATAGTTTGGATGGTTTCATTTGCATCATTTGCATGCGGATCGTGTTTGGCCTTACAAGCTTTGGCCATTGTACTGAATCCAATATTTTCCCTTAGAACTTTAATTTTTCAAGTTCTCTGGTTACCTTTTGTTAATGCTTGTTACTATTTTGCTGGACTTGCCGCCTACTGGTTCTTTGTGCACACAATAATATTCATATCGCTTTCAATTCAATCAACCAGTTCAGCTATTATTAAGAGTTAATCGTTTGATTGAAGGGCGTTTGCCTCTTGAACGTTCAGTAAAAGATGAAATTTACCATTTAAACCAATTACAAAATTCACATTACAATACAATCGATATTCTTAACATCAGTTTCGGCTTATCAGTTTTTATAAGTTTCTTCTTTGGTTCCTTTTTTGCCGACCTTGCTTTTTTCTGTGGCACTTACATTGGAACAAAAAATTTCTTTATCGATCTATTGATGTCATTTATTGGATTTATTACCTTAGGAACTATTACTGAATACAATTTCTTTGCTTCCGGATCATTCAAACAGGTAACGTAATCTAATAGTAAGCAGTGTCATTGTCAGTAATTTAATCTCGTCTTTTACTAGTAGATAAAAAATTTCCGAAAAACCATTTTTCGAATGTGTTTTAACATTTCACTCGATCTTCGGACTCGAATTAAGGTGAATATCAACTCTGAAGTTAAGAGCTAGTCTCTTATGTATATTTTGATATTCATTATATGAAATAGATTCTGGCGACACTCGATCGAATGGTGGCTTATCGAATCGGATTCTATGTTGGAAACATTTTCTGCATGGATGAACGTACTTGTCTTCTAGTGAGTCGAAGTTTATTATTTCGAGTCCCATATAATAATAAATAAAGAATGTCCATTAATTATCCAATAATTTGAATATTCGAAACCTTTGCTCCTGAATCAACTAAATTTTGATGATACTAATGGTTATTATCCATTTTATTAATATTTAGTTTCTACTGGAAAACTTAAGTTTATACCTACTATTGATCGCTAACATCTCTCAATCTTGATATGGAAAATCAATTCATCTATTATTAAATCTGATGGTAAAAATAATCGTTAATTTGGTTGATCAATGAATCCAAAACCAATTCTGTTGGAAGTTAATTCTTCTCTAAAATACTCTGTATATTTAGAATCAGAAAGAATAAACTTGAACTAAACTTTGTATTAGATGAAAAATTCTACCACCAGATAACATTACCAACATCGAATGAAATTCACTCCAAATGCTGTATAAAAAGTTCACGGTGAAAAAGATTTACTCTTACAAGTAAAAGTATCTACTCAATGAATTTACGGATTCGATGTTGCAAAAATACAGTTCAACTTGATTAGATAAACTCTGAAAATCGAGCAACTGTCCAGTATAAACTGTGAGATCATTTCCGTTTTATAGACGATGCAAGAGATTCAAAGAGATGGATATCGGAAAGAAAAAAAACTCATCAACTTCATCTTATCAAGATTAATGGAATGAAAAAAATTGTTCGATTAAAGATTATGATGATTATCATGATGATGGGAGTAGAAAAGGGATAAGAGGTAAGAACAGGGGATAAGAATCAAACTCATGTAGCTTCATCATCTTATTACCAATGAAAAGAAATGGCCAAGGATAAAACATTTGTAGCGAAAAAAATAAGTTTTCATCAACAATATTGACCATTAGCTCTTGATTCCAATAAGTTATTATCATTTTATATCATAAAACCACATCACTAACCTTTAATTTCACCTTTTATCTTGAGTTTGGTAAAGTATATAATTTATCTAGCATTCTGATTGTTTCCTATTCTCTAATAAGTTGAACAATAAATGATTAAAGGCAATTATTGAAAATCATCAGGGATCTAAAGTTTTAAAAATAAAACGATAATAAACTGAATTTAGTGCTGAAAAGTGTATTATGATAGCAATAGGATTAGCTGTGAGAGTATCGATAATAATAGTGAAGAGAAATTTATCCCACAAGAAAAAAAAATGAAATTCTACTGATTAAAGTTCAGCAACAAGTTCAACAATTAAGTTGATATTAATTTCCATCAAATAATCGAGCTGATTGTTATCTATGATCCATCAGAATTCAATTGATTCAATTGGAATGAGGTTAAAAGTAGACAAACGATTTAATGATCTTTGGATGTGCTTTCATATTTATTAACAGAAATCATCCCAATGTATTGAAATGATTATAATGATAATGAACAATTGAATGAATTCCAGAATTCTCATGATGAAATAATATGATTATCATGAAAAAAGAAGAAAAAAATTATTATTTTTTTGGAAGTCGAAAAGGGAGACAATGGAAATGGGAATAAGAAGATGGCAAATAGAAAATGATGAGAAGAGAAAAATAGAAAACTGAAAACAAGATAAAGAGAGAATAATAATAATCAGCTGATGATGATGATGATGATGAAAAAAATGGATTGAAAAGAATGTTGGATAAATGATTTTCTGAGTGATGATATTTCATCTTTCATCTAATCATCTTTTTCTTCTTGATTCTCATGGAGAGAAGAAATAACATTTCTGAATTCATGATGAAAATCCTGAAAATTGAGTCTAAATGCTCAAGTGTCTTTGGTATAAACGCAATTCTGGCACATTGAGATTCACATTGGAACTCTTGTTCATCCCATTTACTAACCAATTCCCCCTGACATGAAGCCTAAAATCACAATCAATCTTTTCACTCTTAATCGTCTTTTTTTTTCATCATCAACCAAAAACAACAACCAAACTCATGGTGAGCCTGAGATGATGATGATATTGTTGTTGTCTATTCTTGGTTCAATTCAATGTCACCATGACTATCAATTACTGACTTCTCAACTCTAACAATTTAACATCATGTCCATGATTTATATATAACTAAACCATGAATTTAACAACAACAATTGTATTGTTTACATTAAAAATACATTGGTATAAATATCGTTCTCAATTAAGTTTCATGGTAAACAAAACGTTAAATATACATAAACATGTAATTGTAAATGCATTTATGATTCGCACAATTGAAACTGATGATTAAAAATTCATGGAAACGAATGTTAATCCAGTTAACAAATGAATTAGTCATGGTAAAAGTGATAAATCTTTCTTTCTGGAGACTTTGAGAAAAACAAAGATACTCTAAGCTGCTGGTGAAAAGTTATTTTCTTTCAGACAAATTACGATAATCAACCAATCAAGAATATGATTATCTACCATATTGGTTTAGATTATCGGTTCATTTATCACCTAAACTTATCACCCTGAAGGTGTCACAATTTTGATTGATATGAAATGCTAATAATAATAGTTTATAGTCGATGAGTACTAATCTCAAATCATAATACATGTTAGTATTATGTTAATCAACTGTGAACATCGTTGGGAGTAATTGAAGTTGATGTTTGATATTATGTATAAGAAAATATATTCATTCAAATGATGTAGTGAAAATGAAGTGAAAATCCGTTTGGATTAGAATGAGTTTTTCCTTATATATATTATGATAGTATATCTTTTTCCATGGTCAGTAAGATGAAATGTAGCTTATTCCAAGTGAGAAGACTGGTCAGCAGAAAAAAATAGAGAGAGAAAAAAAGATAAAGCTAAGGATGATTGATGTTTGGATAATTTTTTTTCCTTCCAACCTTATCCTTTGTAAACCATGGTAGTTATTATGGTTATTATTTGACCAATGGTCAGTTGCAGGAAAAGAGAAAGAGAGAGAGAGAGGTCACAATAAGAAAAGAAAAGACATTCACATCTTGAAAGATTTTACATGTTACTTTGGTGACATTGGACTATTTCTCAGGTTAATGGTGAAATGGTCTGTTGATCAGTTTCAAAAGATTCAGATAAATTCATTGATATTGTGAATAGAAGGTAGAGAAAAATACTTTTCAAATTCTGTAAGAACAAAGAAACAAAAAAAAACTTTCTTTTCTTTTCTTTGATTAATATCTAAATTCAATTGGCTATTTTTGGCCATCTTGACCACTCTTATTATTACTCTTAAACATGAATATACAATTTTTACTCTGATTTCATGAACATGAGCTTGATGAAGCAAACAAATAGAAAGAAAAAGTCAATTCAATCAGAATTTAGTTATTTTTTTCTCTCTCGATTCTCTTTCATGATTAGATTTGTTATCTAAGAAACCGTTTCTCTTAACAAAAATATATTCCACCAAATCTGATTATGTGCATGATAATTTATTATCAGCATAATGAGCAGAATATCAGATTTACCTTGAACAAAATTGTAATACGATTAGTGGGCCAAGTGAAAAGGAAGTTACATCATCATTCAGACTTCGATGAGGTTATCAGGATGATTTTTTCGCTATCATTATCATTGTTATGTATTCTTTTGTTTTCAAAGAGAAAAAGATAGAGTAAAGAAAAACATAGATTATATTCTGTATCTTATTCTGTTCATCTTTTGTATCCAAACAAGAAAGAAAGAAAGAGAGAGAGAGAGAGAGAGAGAGAGAGAGAGAGTAACATTCGAGACGATAAATTGATAATAGAAAAGGGAATTATCATCATTCTAGAAACTAATATCTCAACAATACGAACCATGATAATAGTAATCATTTTCAGAATTGTTCCAATGCTGAATTCACCCTGAGAAAAGGAGAAGGAAAAAAAGCTAAAATTGACCATTTACTTTGATCTCTTTCGCATTTTTGTAATTGATGTTATTTGTTTTCACTAGATTATAATAATAAACCATAGAACTCACAATAAACTCTGTCTTATTTTCTAATCATTTGTTGACCAACCTTAAGATGACCTTAGGTTTGGTCCAGTGAGTTTAATCTTAATCTGATAATTTTACTACAAAATCACTATCAATTTCGTTCCATCTTCAAATATCTTCTTTCATATCCTTCAAGAGCTTATCTCTTATTCAGCGTTGAAAAGCTTAACCAACATAATTTAGCTAATGAGAACTCAATAAACTAAAGGAGAGAACTTTTTTCTAATATTCTTTTCCTAAGTTATTATTTAAACTAAGCTAAAGCTTATTTCTATTATCAATAGTAAATGTTACTTGTTATTACAAGAATTGAAACATTTACTCAAAAGTTCTCATTATTTTCAATTGCATATCCTCTTCCTCTTTGTAACTATTAATGTCATGAAAATTTCTCAATCTTTAAGATGAGTCTCTCAATGTAATAGCAAAAGAAAATTGAAATTTCTGAAAATTTTGTTTCTTTGCCTCTTAAAAAATATTTCAACCATTAAAGTGCTAAAATTATCTAAAGTTAATAGTAGATAATTTAAATGAGATCTAATCTAAGTTAAAGCCTGGAGCTTTAATTTACTCTAGAAAAAAGTTATCCAACTTTAATCGTGATGAAAAATTGATCTTCACGATCCTTAATTAGTTAGATTATGATATCGAACCTACTAATTTACATTTGCCTTTTAACAAGTAATTTAAATTGTATCAAGGTTAAGAACAATTTGTCTCATTCATTTGATTAATCAGTCTGTATGTTTATTACATTGAGATTTAAGATGCACTAATTGTTATCTGTTAAACATGTTGATAGACAATCAATTGAATGTGCATCAATGTTTATCTCTTTAAACAATCAAAGTGGTTAATTGATTTGACTAGAGGTCAGTGAAAAGAGAAAGTGTTCAAATCAATTAATTAGACTGATTAGTTTGGACAATGGTTATTTCAGATTCAATATAATATATTAGCCTTTTATCTGGTCAATTGGTTTTCTTAGGATATTGGTCAAGCCTTTTAATTATATTGCTTAGTATTGTTGTTGTTGTTGTAATAATTTAGGCGATTAACTTTTGGTGTGCAAGAGCTAAAAGTAAAGATTATTAGTACTCGTGATACAACAGAGTCTTTGCCACACCCTTGTTAATCCAAATATTAATGAGAAAAAGTTGAATTGAAAATGAATTTCAATTCTGTGAATCTTTTCATATGATTTCCCATGAATGGGATAAGGTTTCAGCTGGAAAATAAACTGGGACGGATAATAAATGAAAGTTACTTTTGTCAACTATTGTTTCAAAGCTCGAAGGTAAATGAATCAATGAATTAACTGATTAATTCTCAATT